CAAGCAACACTTGTGACCATATTCCTAGTAAGGTGCGCAACCAGGTCTTGTGTGTAGGGCTGGGCACGTCATACCAGGCGGACATATCAGGACACAACGAGGGCATAGTTGTGACACGCTGGTGACGTGACGAGGACACAGGGATACATTGATCATGTAACGATGGCATGTTTGGGACACTCACAGTATGCTGTAGCAAGGATGTATTGGACATGGACAGGACACAGTGATGTTGTAGAGAGGACATGAGTGAGACACACAGATATAACAAGCACATAGGTGGGACACTGATAATGTGACGAGGGCAAGACCATGTCAAGGACACATTGGTACTTTAACCAAGACATGATAACACCACTGACCCAGATTCTGCAGCAGCAGCAGTAAAAACTCATAGTACCTCAACGAGAAAAGGCAAGAAATTTCTTTATTTTATATATATATATATATATATATATATATATATATATATTAAATTATATATATATATATATATATATTACTCACCTAATTGTAGTTGCAGGGGTCGAGACTCAGCTCCTGGCCCCGCCTCTTCACTGATCGCTACTAGGTCCTCTCCCTCTCTGCTTCCTGAGCTTTGTCATACCTCTTCTTAAAACTATGTATGGTTCCTGCCTCCACTACTTCACTTGCTAGGCTATTCCACTTCCTGACGACTCTATGACTGAAGAAATACTTCCTAACGTCCCTGTGACTCGTCTGAGTCTTCAGCTTCCAGTTGTGACCCCTTGTTTCTGTGTCCCCTCTCTGGAACATCCTATCTCTGTCCACCTTGTCTATTCCCCGCAGTATCTTGTATGTCGTTATCATGTCTCCCCTGACCCTTCTGTCCTCCAGTGTCGTCAGTCCGATTTCCCTCAACCTTTCCTCGTACGACATTCCCCTGAGCTCTGGGACTAGCCTTGTTGCAAACCTTTGTACTTTCTCTAACTTCTTGACGTGCTTGACCAGGTGTGGGTTCCAGACTGCTGCTGCATACTCCAGTATGGGCCTAACATACACAGTGTACAGTGTCTTGAACGATTCCTTATTAAGGTATCGGAACGCTATTCTCAGGTTTGCCAGGCGCCCACATGCTGCAGCAGTTATTTGGTTGATGTGTGCCTCCGGTGACGTGCTCGGTGTTATGGTCACCCCAAGATCTTTCTCCCTGAGTGAGGACTGTAGTCTTTGTCCACCTAGCCTATACTCTGTCTGCGGTCTTCTTTGCCCCTCCCCAATCTTCATGACTTTGCATTTGGCAGGGTTGAATTCGAGAAGCCAGTTTCTGGACCACGTGTCCAGCCTGTCCAGGTCTCTTTGCAGTCCTGCCTCGTCAAGTTCCAAAAACTATTTGTCTTCACATGCCTGCTGTATGTCCATTCTTTCCTAGGACGATCCCTACCCCTTCTTCCCTCCACTACAGATTTATACACCCTCCAAGTCATCCTATTTTGCCCCATCCTCTTTAAATGACCAAATCGCCTCAACAATACCTCCTGAGCCGTCTGAATAATACTTTTAGTAACTCCACACTTCGTCCTAATTTCCACTACATCTCCACTGCCTCTAGCCTCCTCACTGCAGCATTTACAACCCAAGCTTCACACCCATATAAGAGTGTTGGTGCTACTATACTCTCATACATTCCCTTCTTTGCCTCTATGGATAACGTTCTTTGTCTCCACAGATATCTTTTTTTCCTTCGTCAGTTCTACGGTTAACCTCATCCTTCATAATAATAATAATAATAATAATAATAATAATAGTAATTATTATTATTATTATTATTATTATTATTATTATTATTATTATTATTATTATGAAGAAGACTATTATCATTCCTAGCCCTAACTGGGCTTAGCAGATTAACAATTATAGCAATTACAATCCTAGCCTCACTGGGCTTAGCAGTTAATTTACATAATTACACAAATCCATTAATATTACAAATGTATGAGAAAAATAATTCCAGCCCCACTGGGCATGCAAATCAAATTAATTGTGGCAACTATAATCCATTACACAAACACAATTAATTAAGTAATGTCAATTATATGTGAACTCAGGAATCCATTACTTTCACTCTAATCATTAAATTAAATTAAATTTTCTCGACTTACATATCCGAGTTCATTAAGACCCAAAGGCTTATTTTGTGAAAATTATTATATTTTCTTATGTTAGCAAATCACCTGCAGGAGGCAGGTGATTTGCTCACGTAAGAAAATATTACCTGCAAGTTATTTGTGAGGTAAGTGGGACTTAAGGCACAGCAGGTCGCAGAACTGTACCTCCCTTGATGCCCACTCCCTACCACTCTCACAAAAAGCTAGACTTGACATTAAATTAATAATTATAATATTAAAACTCACTACTCTGGTAAATTGAAATTATGTGGACTGTATGTTATTTTAGTTTACTTGCTAGGTACACAAAAATTTAACTATTAGTACAATACATATAATACAGTAGTGTTATTAGAAAAGAAATTTGTATTACCACTTACCATTTAATTACTGTAGATGGATCACACCACAACACCTGCCTAACACCTAGACCCTACAGTGGCCAGCTAGAGATCTAAATGCAAGGACTAATGGTGTACTTCCCTGTGAGTGATGTTCCCTTCTGCCATCCACATGTAATTCTTGAGGTCCCGAAAATTTCCTGTCCCAATTCTTCAGCAGGGAACATTAACACGGGTTCCTTATTACAATTTCAGGCCGAAGAACTCCAAATGACTCTCGAGAATGCCCGACCACATTGCACAACTCAGTCCAGTGTTCACATATTAAATTCAATATGGTGTCTCTAGTCCGCATCACTCTCTGGCTCTGTCACACTACCTTTCACTTAAAATTTCTCGAAGGGTCCCAATAGCATCACATTTTAATACACAATTATTATATTATTCATTTATAAGTTCTACCTTCAGGAAAATTATGTAAAAATTTTCCACACACACACACACACATATATACGTATATATATATATATATATATATATATATATATATATATATATATATATATATATATATATATATATATATATATATATATATATATATATATGTCGTGCCGAATAGGCAGAACTTGCGATCTTGGCTTAAATAGCAACGCTCATCTTGCCATATAGGACAAGTGAAAATTTGTGTATGCAATAATTTCGCCAAAATCATTCTAAACCTGACGAAAAAAATATATTTCATTGTGTTTGTTTAGTATTAATTATTGTAAACTTATTTAAAATGTATTTAGTTGGGTTAGGCTAAAATAAGTTGCTCTTGTTATAATAAGGTTAGGTAAGTTTTCTAAGATTCTTTTGGTGCAAAATTATAAATTTTTACATTAACATTAATGAAAAACATATATCTTTAAACGTATAAAAGAAAATTTCAGAAAGGACTTAATTTTAAATGAGTTCTTGCTAATTGACCAGTTTTACATATTCGGCACGATATATATATATATATATATATATATATATATATATATATATATATATATATATATATATATATATATTATATATATATATATATATATAATATATATATATATATATATATATAATATATATATATATATATATATATATATATATATATATATATATATATATATATATATATATATATATATATATATATATATATATATGCAAAACAACCACTATGAAAGAACAGAGAAGTTCCATGCGCTTTCGTGACTACTCACATTATCAAGGAACAATGAAAGTAAAGCATCAAAGGAAGATATATAAAGGGGTAGCCCACACCTCACTATCAGATCCCACAACAACGAAACACCTGACACGAGACAGCAGGCCCGCCGGCCGAACTAGACAGGTCCTTCATACAACCCACCAACAAACTATTTATAATTAATAGAATTTGGGAAGAATTTAATAATACATTGGACAAATAATAATTTTTTAAAATTTGTATTTCTTGGGTAGAATAGTTTGTTGGTGGGTTGTATGAAGGACCTGTCTAGTTCGGCCGGAGGGCCTGCTGTCTCGCGTCAGGTGTTTCGTTGTTGTGGGATCTGATAGTGAGGTGTGGGCTACCCCTTTATATACCTTCTTTTGATGCTTTATTTTCATTGTTTCTTGATAATGTGAGTAGTCACGAAAGCACTTGGAACTTCTCTATTCTTTCACAGTGGTTGTTTTGCATATTCTGAAATCACCTGTTTATTGTGATCTTATTGCATATATATAAAGTAGTTGTAGTAGTAGAAAGTAGTAGTATAATGAAAAATGAGTGCTAAATCCGCGTAAGTCGTACAACACTGCTCGCTAGACGATAATGTGAGATAATTCAGACACTGTACAAGTAGGTTGGCCACTAAAAAAAAAAAGCATCTTTCCGCAAAACCTTATGTTGTGTTGACTCAGGTTAGGTTGGGTGTGTGTGTGAAAATGTGTACCCCATGCTCAAAAGATGAGCATGGGGCACACAATAAACTAGCCGCTCAGGTGGCATGATTAACTAAAACCTCATTTCCCCAATGGAAATAAGTCACTCTCTGACTTTTTTGGGTTATCCTAGGTTCTCTACACATATGCTGCTATGTATGATAATCTATGTAACTGTATTTGTGCATACCTGAATAAACTTACTTATGTTAAGGATGTTTTGAGCGGTGGAAAAGATCCGTGGTTCTAAGCTTTCCGTCTGAGGGAACACCAACACTCGGGGATTCCAACTGTTTGTTCCATGACGTCACAAACATTACATAAACATCTTTCCTCTGTGGTATAACACCGGAACAAAATAGATTGTTATCACAAAGGAAACTCCATGGGCAGCAGTCGATGACTCAGTGATGCAATTTCGGCATTCCGGTTCTAAGGAACAAGACGGTACTAGGTCGCACCCCGGAAACCGGGGCAACAATTGGAGATTTTAGGACCGCCGCGCCTTGTGTATATATAGTCAAGCTGAGGGCATCTAGCTACCAGTCATTACCAAGACACTTGACACTGTTTAGCCACTATTCATTCTACCATGGTTGGCTTGATACCAAAGATAACGTTAGTGTTGTGGGCTGTTATTAGCTGGGTTCATGCCCATGGGTACATGTCTTCGCCCGCCGCCCGTAACTCGGCTTGGAGGTTCGGCTTTAAAACTCCCACCAACTACAACGACAATGAACTCTTCTGTGGTGGTCGAGAGGTCGGTCTAGAAATACTATTTGTTTGTATTACGCTACAGTAGTAGTTTTGGTTCAATTATTATTATTATAATCAAAGGATTATACAGCGCCCGGGGGGGGGGGATGTGGAAGGCATTCAGGCTTAATTCGGGGAACTGGAGCACAGTTCCAATTCCCTATATCAAGAGCCCCTCACCAACATCAAGGAACCTTCCATGAGGGGAGTTTTGGTTCAAGCAGAACTTCGGCTGTTTAAATACTGAATTGTGTGAGGTCCTTGCCGTTGATTCATTTTGCTCACGTTTCATGATACCAAAGGTTTATTGAAATATAACGAGGTGCATGGTTATATTGGGTTATCCTGGATTGCATTAAATAACCACAAAGGATATCATCTTCTAAACTGGCACTTTAACACCCTAGGTGCAACACTTCAAAAACGGAGGAAAGTGTGGAGTGTGTGGTGACAACTGGCAGGTGCCGGAGCCACGACCACACGAGCGTGGGGGACAGTTTGGCCGCGGTGTCATCACTGCCAATTACACTGAAGGACAGGTCATCCCCATCACTATACACATTTCCGCCAACCACCGGGTAAGTTGTAGTTTGTAAAGATAGAAAATTTGTCGGTTTTCCCCGTACAGTTTACTATTACACCTAGTAAGATATCCACCTCTCGTGTATAGTTGATTGTGCATCCCATGCACCCTGGAGGGTGTTCCGGGGGTCAGCGCCCCCGCGGCCCAAACCTTGACTAAGTGGTAGCTCAAAAAAAAAAAATGTAAAGGTCACGATTGGTCTTCATCAGAACCCACGGCACATGGTTGTCCAAGTAATATGTTAACAAAATATCTTTCCGTTACTCAGACGAACTCACAATAAAACAAAATGGATTTCATATAATTGATAGTATATAATACCGACTAGTTGGTGAATATAACGCATGCGCAACAAGTGGGTATCATATTTGCTGGAATACGAAGATACCCAAGTGTTGCACATGCGTCTTATTCATCAAAGTGGATATTATTTTGTTTATGAATAAGACCTAAATTAATAATGGTTATGCGGCTTCAGGGGAATGGAAAAGGTGGAGATAATCAGGTTTGATTCAAGGAAAGGGAGAATAGCTTTATTTCTTAGGATTATTAGCTCTTCACCAGCAATAAAACAAGCTACTCTGATCAGCCGGGCTGTGGTTCGTATGTCGGTTTGCGTGCGGCCAGCAGCAACAGCCTGGTTGATCACGCCCTGATCCATTAAGAGGCCTGGTCACAGACCGGGTCGCGTGGGCGTTTATCCCAGAAAGCCTCTCCAGATGTGCTCTAGGTATATTTTGTTTACACATTCAAGCCTTTTCATAAAACTAAAAAGTGAATAAGATGAATTATTATTATTATTATTATTATTATTATTATTATTATTATTATTATTATTGGCGCGAAATACATATGGGCCATAGGGTACACACAAGAGATGAAGATCTGCCCAAGATATTCGAGCGGTTTCCAGTATGTTATGAATCAAAACCATATAATATTAACTATGCATTGTGTTCATTGTGCGTGAAATTTATTTCATGCATAATGAATAAAAGTTCCAAAATAGGCTATGATTACATCACGACCCAATTTCAAAATCTGATAATTTCAAGTGGAAACCTGATGCTATAGTTCCCTATGTCCTCACGTCTCTTGTGCTTAAATCTAACGTAGGTCAAGTGACCAGCCTTTGTAAAAAAAAAATCTCTTGCAAACTGTTTAGTTTACTAAAAAGATCTCAATTTGATGACAAAATGTGATGAGTAAGGCACTTTATTTCTTTCTCCATCTGTGACACTGACCCGTTTTTATTACACTTTTGCATTTAGATATATTTTACTTTTGTTATACTATATTAAAGATGAGTATCTATTTAAGGGATGGTATGAGTTCCGGCTATGTAACAATAATAATCCCTGGGCCCGGGACTCTCAGGAGTGCCTCAATAAGCAGGTGCTCTCCATGGCGGACGGCTCTGGTACCCGCTACACACTGGACGGCGCCATTCGTAACGACCACACCATCTACGTCCAGTTGCCAGCCCGCCTCTCCTGCACCCACTGTGTTCTCCAGTGGACCTGGGTCGTTGGTAAGACTAACTTCTTAATGACTTACTCGTTAGCTGCCAGTGGTCAAAGTACTCCATGGACAATCTAAAGGTCTTGAGTTCGATTTCGAGGCTCGGCAAATTTTTATCAATAATCCCAACTGAGCGATTAATTTATGGTACACCCGCAGATGTAAGCAGGAGGGCAAAGAAACATATATAGAGGTCACAATAGGCCTATCAAACTAATTGGGTATTCTTATGTTTTAATATCACAGAGTTATTTCATGCCTTGGCATTGACTTGATCATAGTCCCAGTGGTATATATGGGAGGGAATTTACGAAAGTTGAACCTGAAACCATTGTCAGTTAAAGTCAATAATGCGAGCACAACCGTGTTACATTCCGATCTCAGGCTATTTCGACTCCCCTCCCCCCCAGGTAATGTATAATCCTTACGGGTTTAGCGTATCCCACTGATTAATCTGCTGATAATAAGTAGCACTAGGAATCTTCACTGACGAAACGTTTCGTATGCGCTGCAGGATTCATCAGTCGAATACAGGGATGAATTACTCCTGGAGCCATCAACACTGGTGGAAGACGAAGTGGAGAGGTAGTTTGATGTAATCAGTCCATCACCATAGGTAAAAGACGAACAGTCTCTTCACCTACGTGTCTTATCAGTTTGTCAGTATTATATACCCTTTACTTGATCTGCTTATATATATATATATATATATATATATATATATATATATATATATATATATATATATATATATATATATATATATATATATATGCAAGGAATTCGCAAGAGAAGGCGAAATATAGCCAGAGATCAGTGTGTATATATATATATATATATATATATATATATATATATATATATATATATATATATATATATATATATATATAAAAAGCATAAACTGCTTATATATATATAAGCAGATCAACATGACTCACGAAATCGTAATGACACGATTGCAAACAAACCATACCACGGGTGGGGATAGAACCCGCGATCAGAGAGTCTGAGAGTTTGAGATTCTCTGATCGCGGGTTCTATACCCACCTGTGGTATGGTTTGGTAAGCAGATCAAGGCCAACGTGTCCCTTTAAATTTTGAGAGAAAACTGTCCCCTATATGGGGGACTTCTACAAGTTATGTAAAGGAAACGGGGCTCATTAAAATAAATAAACGCATTTAAAGGGGGAAGACATCTTCAAAAACAAGGAAACCAGTCACATATACTCTTCCCACATAATTCTGAAGCAAACTCTGGTTTAACCTTCAGAAACTGCAGGAAAATATATACAAGGCCTAGTTCCTTGGCGTGGCACTACATTTAAGGCAGTTTGATGCATTCATATAAGAGCCCAGTTTTAAACTGTGTACTATTGCCTCAATTAAAAACGCATCTAATCTGAACACCCAATCACTGATATTGTATAAAGCCTGCCTATCATGCTTAATAATTGCCGATTCTACAATATTCCTTTCAAGCCAGGAGGACAAGGAGAAAATGACTCTTGCTTCCTGCCAGTTTGCTGGATTATTACAAGCTCTAATATGGTTGAAAATCGCGTTCGACTCCTGTGCTATACGTATCGAATAATGGTGCTGGGAAATTCTCACCTCCAATGATTTTCCAGTTTGTCCCAAATAGGAGAGATTGTAACCATTGCAACCAACTCTCTCAAGTCTAAACACTACCAACACGTTGTTGGGGTGCATTCTTTATCAGGATGCTTCTAACAGTTCGTGAATTTTTAAATACTAGTTGTGTATTAAATCTTCTAAGAGCATTCGGCAGGATAGATAAATTCTGGTTATATGGGAGGACCAGCATTAGCTGCCAGCAAGGCAGATTTCATAAACACTTTAGGATATCGAAGTTTCGTGTCAATGTCAAATATTTTCCCAATTTCTTCATCTAGGAACTCCGGACTGCACACTCTATAGGCTCTCAAAAACATAGTAAGAAATACGCTCCTTTTGACTTTAATCTCATGGTTGGAACAGTAGTGAATGTATGAGCACATTGGTGGCCTTCCTATATACTGTAAACTTAAACTTTCTATCAACTCAGTGTATCAACACATCTGAGAATGGAAGTTTCGAGTCCATCTCTTTCTCCACAGTGAATTTAATAGACGGGACTAGAGCGTTAAGTCTTGGTAAAAATGTATCCAGGGCCAAATCATTTGGCCAAAGACACAAGATGTCATCCACATATACGAACCATTTAGCTCTACATGGCAAGATATCCTTCAACAGTCTAGCCTCGAAAAATTTCATATACAAATTGGTCAATAAGAGGAACAACGGATTACCCATCGCCATTCCCTGATTTTGAGCATAGTATTTCCCTTCAAACTCAAACTTGCAGTCAACTACGCAAAGCTTAATCAATTTAATAATGGTATTTTTCTCATACGGCAAAGAGAACTCATTTAATTCTTCTTCTAAATAAGATAAGTCGGGAACAGGGACTATCGTGAACAACGCAGTAACATCAAAACTAACAAGTGTAAAATCATTAGACATGTTGATATTTTGCAATTTGTGGATGAGATCAACATTGTTTCTAGTGGGTTTTAGAAATGTTGCCAAGCAAAGGAGTTAGTATTTTTACTTACCATTTTGACAAGGTATATGATGCCGATCCTACCGAACTAATTATAGGTCTGGCTGGAAAACCGGGCTTGTGGATTTTAATCAAACCATACATGTAAGGGAGTGTCGCAGATTTCGCCGAGAACTGTTTAATTAATTCCTCATTACCTCTCATTACATTGCAACACGAAAGGCTTAGAGCTGTTATTCTACTCCCCCCGCGGTTGTTTTGCATCTTGTATTGCTTGGTTTGCGATATTTGCTTTATAATATATATATATATATATATATATATATATATATATATATATATATATATATATATATATATATATATATATATATATATATATATATATATGTATATATATATATTAATTTAAAATTTTATATTTTTATAGGAAACAGCTGGGGTAAGTGCCCTGACGGTACTGGTAGAAATGGCTGCGGGCCACAAGAAACCTTTGTCAACTGTGCGGACATCAGTATCCTACCTAAAAACTACAGCCACAAGAAACATTTAAAGCCCAGTTACAATTTCAAATGGTGGTAATGGTCGAGACCTCGTGTGACTCATTGCGTTTACACCCGTGCCGGGGATCGAACCATGGTCTTTTAGTATGTGAGCTGAGTGCTCTACCAACCGTGCCACGCAACACATTTGTTATGGTTTCTAAATTATATTCACATAAATGCGCTAAGCCCGTACGGGTCAGCGTGTATTTACTGTAATTGTGATTTTTTTTCTTTGAATTTCTAAATATTTATAATAGTAACATTTATGTGAAAAATGTAAACTGCTATGACAAAAATAAAAAAAAAATATTTATACTAGTCGTATCATTTTCTTTACGTCATAAACCAATATTCATAATGGGAATATCTGTGACATTTTATGTTACTAGAGATACGGTATATACAATGAAAAGTATGTATCTCGTGGTGAATATATGCTAAGAAATTGTTTAATTTCCTATTTTAGAGACTAAAGTATCCTTGTGTGGTGGTGACAGGTGACCTACACCCTTAATGACCCTCGTGTTGTCGCTAGGCTTTAAACTTAATGACCCACCCTATTAAATAAACTTAGTATGTGTTAGTAAAGGGAGTATCTCTTATATGGCAGAAATAAGCGATAATTTGGGTCTGCCAGAACGCAATGTTTTCATTAAGGTGGAAAACCCTACACTGGTACACCAATGGTTGCTGGAAACTGACACCCAACACTGGTACATCAGTGGTTGCCTGAAACTGACGCCCAACACTGGTACACCAGTGGTTGCTTGACACTGACGCCCAACACTGGTACACCAGTGGTTGCTTGACACTGACACCCAACACTGGTACACCAGTGGTTGCTTGACACTGACACCCAACACTGGTACACCAGTAGCTGCTTGACACTGACACCCAACACTGGTACGCCAGTGGTTGCTTGACACTGACACCCAACACTGGTACGCCAATGGCTGCTTGACACTGACACCCAACACTGGTACACCAGTGGTTGCTTGACACTGACACCCAACACTGGTACACCAGTGGTTGCTTGACACTGACACCCACACTGGTACACCAGTGGTTGCTTGACACTGGCGCCCAACACTGGTACACCAGTGGTTGCTTGACATTGACACCCAACATTGGTACACCAGTGGTTGCTTGGCACTGACACCCAACATTGGTACACCAGTGGTTTCTTGATACTGACACCCAACATTAGTACATCAGTGGTTGCTTGACACTGACACCCAACACTGGTACACCAGTGGTTGCTTGACACTGACACCCAACACTGGTACACCAGTGGTTGCTTGGCACTGACACCCAACACTGGTACACCAGTGGTTGCTTGATACTGACACCCAACATTGGTACACCAGTGGTTACTTGACACTGACACCCAACACTGGTGTGTCAAGCAACCAGTGGTTGCTTGACACTGACACCCTTGGATCGTATCTAATTTCCCCCCATTCACTAGGTACAGTATGACTCCTACTGAATGTTACTATAATTATTGAATGTCACAATAATAATTGAAATTGCTCATTTTATTTGCTGTTCAGGTATAGTCGGTTTAATATTCAGTGTTTTTAGGTTAGGTTTCCATTGAGCGAATGCTTGGGAGAATATTTACAATACTGCCGCCCATATTGTTCAATGACAGCGCCTTCAGCTCACAACCGAACGTCCCGGGTTCAGTCCTGAGAGATCAGCGATGTTTACGGAAGTTTATAACCATTTCCCCCTCCCTTCCCTTTCCCCTAGCAAGTGAGTAAGAGGAGACTTCTTACTAGTAGGCTGTCTGCTACATAAGTGAGAGGTTAGGTTTGGTAGATTTAGATATTGCCACCGAAGTGGCTAGTTTATTGTGCACTCCATATCCATCCTGTGGACGCTAGCGCAAGTGCATATGGATACACAAAAGGCCTAGGAACTAGGCCCCAAAAGGGTTAACAGGTGTACATATGGGTTTTTGTTTATTTACATGTCTAAAGTTCACTTATCTGTTACATGCAAATTTAGGAAATTTGCTTAGTATATCTGGTATCTTATTTTCATTAATAAGATATCTTGACATGTCACATAGGTTATTATACTGTCTCTCTCTGTATTCCTCAATAAGTGGACAATTAAGCACATAGTGTTAAAGACAGTGACCATATGCCTGATAACATAATTTGCATTTGGTTTGATCATCTGTGTCTCCCAGACTGCCAGAATTACTTGTAACCAAGCCTAAGTCTGGCCACTACAACATCAGTCAGTCTGTTCACATTGCAAGTTGCTCCATAAACATACTTATCTACGTTCATGTTATCATAGTGGTTGGTAGGTTCGTCAGGAAACAGGAAAGATGTTTCCTGACGCGGGTCTCAGTCATGTGATGACCCGGTCATTTCACCCAGGCCTTCCGCTGGCATACCTGTCCACCCTTTTAAAAATTATGGTTAAACTGAAGGTAGGCCTATGTCTGCAGACAGATAGCAGCATTAGCCTAGTGGCATGGCGCGAAATAAGAAAGGTGTCCTGGCACGAAATATAAAACCCAACAGTGCTTACGGACGTCATCTCTGCAAACTGACGTCATTCATGAGGATAAAAACCTGTAAGACACGAAGGATGTTACGCCGCGCCCATGGTTCCTTCATGCTGCACCCCTCAGCGCGCCCATAGTTCCCTGAAGCTGAACCACCCACAAATCCCAGTCCACCCACAGGGAATAGTAATAATGGCAGCAGAGTAATGTCCGCCGCTACAACACCTGACTGCCTGCTGAAGCATCCTGTGTTTTCGTAAGAGATACAGTGTATCAGCCTAATACTTCTCTCCTGTTTTCTCTTTCTCACATCTCTCTCTAAATCAGGAGCGTCCATCAAGCAAGGTATTGACCATTTTTTTAGCCTAATTATCTAGAACACGTGAATTCCTAGGCCCAGCTAACGCCCCTGGAGTTAGAACTGCGATGTGTCCTGACAATGCAACCCGCGGTTCTGGAAAAATAGTTTATTAAATATAAGTAGTCTCAGAGTGGACGTGTCAGCGGATGGGTCTATGAAAGATGAGGTGAATCATAGAATTGATGAGGGGAAAAGAGTGAGTGGTGCACTTAGGAGTCCGTGGAGACAAAGAACTTTGTCCTTGGAGGCAAAGAGGGGAATGTATGAGAGTATAGTTTTACCAACGCTCTTATATGGGTGTGAAGCATGGGTGATGAATGTTGCAGCGAGGAGAAGGCTGGAGGCAGTGGAGATGTCATGTCTGAGGGCAATGTGTGGTGTGAATATAATGCAGAGAATTCGTAGTTTGGAAGTTAGGAGGAGGTGCGGGATTACCAAAACTGTTGTCCAGAGGGCTGAGGAAGGGTTGTTGAGGTGGTTCGGACATGTAGAGAGAATGGAACGAAACAGAATGACTTCAAGAGTGTATCAGTCTGTAGTGGAAGGAAGGCGGGGTAGGGGTCGGCCTAGGAAAGGTTGGAGAGAGGGGGTAAAGGAGGTTTTGTGTGCGAGGGGCTTGGACTTCCAGCAGGCATGCGTGAGCGTGTTTGATAGGAGTGAATGGAGACAAATGGTTTTTAATACTTGACGTGCTGTTGGAGTGTGAGCAAAGTAACATTTATGAAGGGGTTCAGGGAAACCGGCAGGCCGGACTTGAGTCCTGGAGATGGGAAGTACAGTGCCTGCACTCTGAAGGAGGGGTGTTAATGTTGCAGTTTAAAAACTGTAGTGTAAAGCACCCTTCTGGCAAGACAGTGATGGAGTGAATGATGGTGAAAGTTTTTCTTTTTCGGGCCACCCTGCCTTGGTGGGAATCGGCCAGTGTGATAATAATAAAATAAATAAGTAGTCTCATCTTCATGTTTACTCGCAACATTTTTTTCATTGCTCTATTCTACCGCAATTCTTTTCCCTCCAAATTCTTGCCGTTCCTCTTTTCGCCTAAAAGAAATGGTCAGTTGCTAGCACTAACTAGGCTTGAAACTGTCCAATTCTCTAATAAAATTTATTGAACTTTTTAAAACTTGTTTATTACTGCTAAAAAAAACCTCCATGAATATAATCATGTAGCCCACTATTGAAAATCCTTGAAGCCTCTGTTCTCAAACCTCACTCACTATATATAGTCTAAACTCTCGCTCTCTGTGTGTCACCTTAATGAACTTCATCACTCAATAACACTAGCATATTTCACCCACTTAATGCACCTCTCTCAATAAGGCTTCATCGCTTTCTCCCTCTGAAACTACCCGGAATAATTAAGTAAATTATGTTAATTTTAATCGACCATATAAAGTTACTCCGCGAGCACACATTCCGTGTCTATGTCGTCAACTTCCCTGCAATGTTTGTATAATTTCCAGAGATGCTTATCAGCGAGACTAAATTAAGAAAGTCAACAGTAATCACGGTGTCCAGTAAGAACCACTCCTTTCCGAACTTCCAAATGTATGAGTGAGACAGAATGAAGAAGGGATTTTATGTCAATTATTAACCACAACAAAGGTTTAATAACCGGAGACAACTCAACGAAGATTTTTTTCCCGATGACCCGGAGGGTTAATCCAGGAAAGTCGGTGTTGCTTACTTCCGTTTGGGTCCTAAGGTTCTTCCGTAGGATACAACAAAGTCGACTAACTTTATATTTATATATATATTTATATTTATATATTTATATATATATATATATATATATATATATATATATATATATATATATATATATATATATATATATATATCTGTTTACTACTAGGTAAACAATGTCCGGTCTCCTAACAGTTACTAGGATCCCATACATCTTGCTCAGCCGGGATTAAACCCCCTGTCCTTTCGGTTGTAAGCCAAAGGCTGTACTACTGAGTAACAAGGTGTTACCTCCGTCAGAGAGGTTTATCTATGTTAAAACAAAATATAAAATTGTTGAGTGAGCTTGTTTATACTTTCAGGTGTCAGTACCCTTGTTGATTGTACTCCATTTCCCGGAAACTTGTCCCACTCTGTAGTGGTGCGATCGCGTGTGTTATTGGTCAAATGGTGGCTTAGGTTTAAAGCCTATCGCCCGCATGATCGTCATCAAGGCTGCATTTCACCCGTACACATAGTCAATAATATTTAAACCTAAAGTAAATATTAAGCTCTCAATGCATATACACAAGGAAATATGCAACTCTTATCTCTTCTTATTTATTATATATATATATATATATATATATATATAAATATATATATATATATATAATATATATATATATTAGATTAATATTATATATATATATATTATATATATATATATTAATAGTATCTATATTTATACATATATATATATATATATATATATATATATATATATATATATATATATATATATATATATCGTGCCTAATAGGTAACACTGGTCAATTAGCAAGAACTCATTTAAATTAAGCCCTTTCTAAAGTTTGCTCTTATACGTTTAAAGATATATATTTTTTTCATTTATGTTGATCTCAGTAAAAATTAATAATTTTATACCAAAAGAACCTCAGAAAACTTACCTAGCCTTATTATAACAAGCTCAATTTAATATATTTAATATATACAGGAGAAGGGTTACTAGCCTCTTGTTCCCGGCATTTTAGTTGCCTCTTACGACACTTACGGAGAAAGAATTCTGTTCCACTTCCTCATAATCTTGCTGCTTTGTTGGATGAATACATGATCTGTTCATCAAGCGTTGTTTTGTACTGGTCCTCCTCCCAGTCATTGCAGCAGAACTACAAGATGACTGTGATTATCAAGTGCTGCTCCCAGTCAGTATACAGCTACAAGGTTTGTGGATATAAGACTGACTTCGCCAAACTGAAGCCTCATCTTATTGTTCTATGTTTGGTCGCGATGAGTGTTGGTGTTTAACTGTCCGTACATTCACGAGTATGTATTTAAAATTAGCGTCCTGTATGATTGAGTATATGAACTAGCAGGTTTTATTTAAAAAATAATTTACAGTACTTATCAAAATATAAATAAACTTTATTTCAAGACTTCTTAAAGGAATTATGTACAGTGTTGCATTACGCATTAACATATTACTCTCTAGTGGGGTTCATGTTCGTTAGGTGTGGCGTTTTAAGACTGATTACCTTCATAGGTCCACTTTGGAGGATGCCGTGATTCTGGTAAAGGGCACAAAATTTCTAGCTGATAGTGTGTTCTGGGGGGTCAATTTTTCCCACAAACAGGAGGCTGAAGGCACCCTTGGCTCATTCATCTGTTCGTGGCACCTCGGTGATCACCCACTGCGATTTTTGGCAGATGCAGCATTTAATGCGTCTTTTAAACATAATTCTATACATTTCTGCGGCACCCCTTGCTGATATACGTGACACTTCACTATTCCAGTTGGGAACCACTGAGTTTAACTTACGAGTAATAGATAATCCAGGAAATGGAGATGACACTAAGACGAGGATTCGATCCATCCTGAATCATTATAATGTAACTAACTCACTGCAGACAGCAGAGCCTAGTAGACTCACCACTGGCGGGCTCTGGCCCACACCAGCTCGTAACAGCAAGACCTGGCTTGTCCTCGGAACAAGAACCTCAAATTGTGGACGGGGTTGATTTCACTGAACATCAGCTTGAACCCGAAGCAGTCCAGCAGCTGAAAATACTTCCAGTATTTCTCCCTCACTTCTGACATTTCTGAAAAAAAAAATGTGGTAAATATTTTTAGATATTTACAAATGGGAAGATACCATCACTAAGTAAATATTTTAAATGTAAGTTTCAGCCTATATATATATATATATATATAATATATATATATATATATATATATATATATATATATATATATATATATATATATATATATATAGATATATATATTACTAATTCGTAGTTGAGCGGTAGCAGATTTAACATACGACTCACGAAAACTAATACTCATATCTTATGATGTGTTATTTAATTTATAAGTTTCAGGCTCACTGAAACGATTATCATACGACTAAAAACCCACGTTAGGATACATTTTCCCATTTCTCTTGACAAGAAAATACCACCCTCGCACTCATCGTCATCCTGGTTTTTATCAAAAACAAGCTTCGAAATACTAGTCGTCATGACTACGCCTTCTTGTAGCCTAGACTACGAATTCTTGTAGATTAGACTCGCATTCTTGTAGCCTAGACTACGCATTCTTGTAGCCTAGACTACGCATTCTTGTAGCCTAGACTACGCATTCTTGTAGCCTAGACTACGCATTCTTGTAGCCTAGACTACGCATTCTTGTAATCTAGACTACGCATTCTTGTAGCCTAGACTACGCATTCTTGTAGCCTAGACTACGCATTCTTGTAGCCTGGACATGAAAAGAAATGCTCTGCAAAATTATGGGTTTTCTGTATGCACAAGCAAATGTCACCCACCTATGTTATGGCCAGAATACGGGTAAGAGAACCACAAGACGACAACGGAAATAAGCCTACCTGGACTATCCTGGATTTAATTGCTCTCCAGGGTTAAATCCAAGTCAGCTTCATTCTAGAGGTAAGCTCAATGGAGCATCCGAGACTTACTGTTAGTGTAGCTGTTGTGGATCTCCATGCCGATTTGCTTGACGTTCTTGAGCAGGTTCGGGGTGTTGGTGAAGACATCTTGAAAGAAGCCTAGCTCGGCTCCTTCCACGTCTATCTTGAGGTAGTCTATGGTGGAGTTCTCATGTCCCAGTTTCTTCAAGATAGTTTCGTACCTGGCCAGCTGGTATAATGAAAGTATTATCATTATTATTAGTTATTATTATTATTGACACATCGGCCTTTTCCCACCAAGGCTGGTGACCATTATTATTATTATTATTATTATTATTATTATTATTATTATTATTATTATTATTATTATTATTATTATTACATTCATTTGAAACCGCTAAATCCATACGGATCATACGCCGTATGACCTGTAAAGGTATGAGCTACTCAAATATTACGCTAAAGGAGAAAAAAGAGATGGAAAAATCAATTTAAGAAAAATAAATGTTTAATTAAGTTACGAATGAATTAACACAGAACACATTTCGACACTCTTCAGGTCGCTTGTTCTATCTAGGTTGGAATATTGCTGCACACTAAGAGCACCTTTCAAGGCAGGTGAAATTGCTGACCTAGAAAATGTACAGAGAACCTTCACGGCACACATAACGGAGATAAAACACCTCAATTACTGGGAGCGCTTGAGGTTCATGAACCTGTATTCCCTGGAACGCAGGCGGGAGAGATACATGATTATATACACCTGGAAAATCTTAGAGGTACTAGTACCAAACTTGCCCACGAAAATCACTCCGAAAGCAAAAGACTCGGCAGACGATGCAACATCCCCCCAATGAAAAGCAGGGGTGTCACTATCACGATAAGAGACAACACAGTGTCAGGGGCCCAAGACTGTTCAACTGCCTCCCAGCATACATAAGGGGGATTACCACTAGACCCCTGGCTGTCTTCAAGCAGGCACTGGGCAGGCGCTTAAAGTCGGTACCTGACCAGCCGGGCTGTGGCTCGTACGTTGGATTGCGTGCAGCCAGCAGTAACAGCCTGGTTTATCAGGCCCTGTTCCACCATGAGGCCTGGTCACAGACCGGGCCGCGGGGGCGTTGTCCCCCAGAATTCTCTCCAGATAATACAAATCAGGTGAACACAGTGAGAGCAAATTATAATATAGAGCAAAATGCATCAGAATATAACACCAGATGAAGTCAGTGAACACCAGTCATCATCTGACCAAGACCCGCGTCAGGAAACACTTGTCCGGTTTCCCGACGAACCTTACTTAACCTAACCTAACCAGGGATATACTGAGGTATTTTATATGACGTTTTGTGGGTGGTAGACACTTCAGTGGTACTGATTTCAGCATCTTTGAGAGAAACACTTCCGTGGTATACTCCAGGTATGAGTGAGACACTTACCTCAGTGGTGTTGATCTCAGCGTCTAAGAGAGACACACCTACCTTAGTAGTGTTGATCTCATCGTCTGAGTGAGATATTCCTAGGTCGTAGAACATTATGTTGGGAGACCTCCGATGAGTTTCTCGTCCGATGGTCGGGTCAAACGCGTACACCTGTAATGTGAACAGTAGTAGTCAGTGTTCTCGTAGCTTAGCACTAGAGCTCACAACCGAAAGCACCTGGGAGATATATAAGCCTCTCAGCGTGTATAGACAAATACACACCATTCATCGTATACACAGTTACACACCCCTCGGTTTGTATACATTAGGGGGATACACACCAATGAATGTATGTACACAGAAAGATACAAACCACTCAGTATATAAAGACAAATATACATCTTATTGTATATACAATAAGACGTACACACCACTCACTGCATATACATTGTGTATGTAGTTCGTTTTTTAAATTAATACAATAGAGTGGCTGGAGCAAATCATAATTAACTCACAAATTGGAGAAGAAACAGCTTGAGATGACCCCGCGGTCCGTTTCAGCTCGATATTGATCCAGGGAGGACCTCAACGTCAGGAGTTCGAGGTAATCAGTGCCACCCAGGAGTCAGTGTGATCTGTCCGTCAGTTTTGATAAGAATACAACACGTGCGAAGAATGGGCTTACATACTGCAGATGCATATGCTGTCTGAAGGAGACTCACCGCGCTTTTGTCATAGGGCTGCCCCAGTCATGGGGCTGTAAACGGTACTACACTCGACATGAATTGCTTACCTTGCCTCTTTCACAGGGCTGTAAAGGGTACATCACTTGTACACACTCCGACACTCCTTCGGGAGCCACTGCCGGATCACAACATGGAGAAGACCCGGGCCAGGACCCGTCTTGGCAAACCTACATGAATATGCTGTATTCTTATCAAGATTGGTGGATTCACACAAACGTCGTTTAGCTGAAGCTTCTTCTCCTAATTATAAGTTAATAGCAGAGTGTCCCAGCAGCAGTTAGCTGTGGTTCCAGCAACTGACCTTACAGTTGAAGCGCTGATCCATATCATCGTCGAAGGAGAAATCTTGAAGGATCCCAAAGGAGAGCACGATGCACCTGCCGGGGACGATGTTGTAGGTCTTGCTCATGCACACCCACTTCTCCCCCACCATATATGGGGGATGACTCTTTAGCTCTCCTCCCACCATCACCTTGTCCAGGGGAAGTATAAAACTCGTCGTTAGTGATCGTTCACCTCTTTAGGTGAACGTAACATCTAGTGTTTTTTGGATACACACTAATATCAAGACTGAAGAAGTCACTCATGGTGAAACGTTTCCTCAGTAAATGTCTTGAACTGTGCGTGTCTTTACATACTGTGTTCATTGATATCGTATGAGAATGCAACTGAATTATAATAATGCTTCTATAGTTTGACCATTTCAGGAGCGAATCCTGTTTTCACTCTTTCCTCTACTCCTTACCTACACCCTTCCCTCCTCTGCAGTTCCCTCTCCACCCTACCCCTCCCCATGGCCTCTTTCCTTATCCTTCTTACCCCATTCTTTCCCTCTCTCCCATACTCAAACCATCGTATGTGCGTGAATATGAGAGGGGATACCTAGCTAGATATTTTCCCCACTGTGTACAACAGGGTAACAACACACTCAGGGTGTTCCCACCCTGTAATTGTCATATAAAGTTATTGTATTTAGTTCAATTAAAAACTCACAGGCTTGTCGCAGGGGAGCTGCCGGTTGTAGATATACGCATAGAATTCATCAGGATTGTTCAGCCTTGGTAGTGTGCAGTTGAGATTCCCTGTAGAGAAGACAGTCAACAGAGTCAGTCATGTGGAGTTTAAAAGAGTAGTAGATGTGGCAGGCTTGTTACCGGAATAGCTTCTTTTGGTGAGTACTTTTGGTTTCAACGCATTCACTCATACATACACAAACACGTCCATTCACTCACAAACACGTCCATTCACTCATACACACAAACACGTCCATTCACTCACAAACACGTCCATTCACTCATACACACAAACACGTCCATTCACTCATACACACAAACACGTCCATTCACTCACAAACACGTCCATTTATTCATACACACACGTCCATTCACTCATACACACACGTCCATTCACTTACACAAACAAGTTTACTCAAACACTCAAACGAGTGAGTAGGTGAGTACACACACACACACACACACACACACACACACACCACACACACACACACACACACACACACACTTTAAGGAGTTCAAGGATTGGAAGAATTCCAATTATTTCTACATAACAGGACGACTGTCACTGACTGTACTGATGTTGCTACTGCTGATATCCTCATCATCAGCAATACTATTTACTTTTTGTTGTGAGACGGTAGTGCAGCAAAACTTGAGTGTTGCAGATGACCGGAGACGTTGTTATGAGAGGTGGTGGGGAAGGCAGGGCTGTGTCCCCGGGTCAGTTCCTACAAGGGTTAGTACTAAGCCCTATATAAATAATAATTTGCCGAGATTATGGGTTATTGATTTGCTTGCTAGCCGTACAACCTGGTGAATACCTATTGAACATAAGTTAAACTCAAGTTCTAATTGTTTAAAGTTTGTCAGCCTCTTGTCGCCTCATTACCTTGTGATTTTTTTTATGTTACAAATTTGAGGCTTTCTGGTGTGTCCTCTTTTTATTCGAGTCACGAACTGATGCCGAATTACTTGCTATATATTTTGACTTTTTAACCTCTGAGTTTAAAACTTTATTATTTAAGTGTTGTGATCAGCAGTGTAAATCCGACAATTAGTTCTCTTTTCTTTCAGTAACAAACTGTAAGGACACTGTCAGTATCTTTAATACTCTCTCTACACTCTACATCTTATAAATGTTATATTTTTTTTTTTGGTAGAAGGCAAGAGAGTAGCCCCTACAGTGTATCTAATCCCTGGGTACACTGACTGGCTACGTCCATGAGGTTAACTAATTTGAATCCGTGTCATATTATAAATAGTATGCAATACACAATGATTACCTTAAGCTATCTCACCGCTTCGTCTACTGTCTCCAGTATTGTAATTATTCCTGTATTCGACTGAGGCGACAATTTTCGGTTATAAAAAATAATTAGTGTTGCACATAGTCTCTTACCCATTCTATTCGTATGTTTGTGCTGGATAGTTTTCTGAGATGGTTAAAAAACAGTCACACAAAAATTAGGAAAGAGGTTACATATGATGCATAACACCTGTATTTCGAAGAGGAAGCAAGCTGCTCTGAGGGTCTTCGGTGCCTCTGACAGGATCGAGAGCTATCTTTTTTTTTTTTAATGTAATGTTAATTAAGAGTTAACCGGAACGCCGTAGACTGGACACCACGAGAATAGTTCTATAATGTTGAAGTGGGAGGCGGAAGAGGTGAAAGGTTCTTGATCCACATCATTGAGACTACCTTCGCCTCCTTAGATCAAACCTATTCCCGAAGCGGTGTGTGATCCGTAAGGATTTAAACTTTCCCCTTAAATATATTAATAGGTTACTCCAGCTGCTGCAGTTCAGTAATCACCAGAACAATTGTTTATCTATGTTGGACGATGCGATATCGCTGTGATATTGACAGCCACTTTGAGATATATTGACGAAACTATCCTTATAATTTAAAGATTAAATTTTAACCTGAAAAGAATGCTGAGCTCGACAAACTGATACCTTACCCCAGTCTTGGTGGTCATATGCGGTGTGTGAGCGAGCATTTTCTAGGAGCTCGCCAGCACCTTCACTCACATCACCAGCAGGAAACTTCTCCATGTTCACAATTTTATCACCGATTAACTCAAGGAAACCGTGGGCATATCTGAAATTACAAAAGAATCATCTCAGAGAATTGGCTTATCTGTAATTAACACGAAAATTGAGATATTCCTCTTTGTTAATTAGATCTGAAACGTGTCGACATGAGGGTCATCAAGGCTGCATGTAACCTACGCACGGATACTTTAATCCCTAAAATAGGAATTCGAGTAATCTCCCTCCATATATACATCGAGAGTCATGCACTTCTCAGTGTATACAACCTAAACTTGAAAACTTGAACTTGAACTTTTGACCAGAGCTTTGGTAAGAAAGGAAAGGAAGAAGGATGGGTAAGGATAGAAATATGGGAAAAGGGTGGGAGGGAGAAGAAAGGCAGGATACTAAAAGGAAGTGGCCCAAGCACTTTGGTGCAATTTGAAATGTGTATGTGTAATAACAGAAAATTATTAAAAGGGGTATAACATTTACCATCAGATTCACACAGATATAGCAAATATATAGGTGCATGACTCTGAGTTGGTAATGGATATACAATCTGCAATTGCTTTTTTTTTTTTTGCAGTTACAGGATGAAGGCTGGTAATGACAAGGGCAAGGCGATAAACATACGCACAATTTATTTAAAATTACTGGGCATGTTGGCTTTCAAGGTGGTGTCCCGCCATAGTAAGTATCGCGCTGTTAGTAGTAGATGTAAGCTTAGAGAAGTTATGAAAGATGTCTCCATAATTAGGTGCGATGATATGCTTAGTAGACAGAATGGTTCCGGTGTTACCTAAGTATCTTCATCTGCAGGGAGGTTGCTCAAGATCATTGGTCGTTGGTAATCATCCTTGTGGGTGAAGCGGCGCACCCTAATTCGGTCCGGTTGAATTTTTATTTTTAAAAAGTACGGGTACAAAATTACGGCACTTTTTCTGACAGGTATGCAAAAAAAAAAAAAATACCGCATCGTGGTTTGATCTTCGGTACGTGTTTCATTAAGACACCTGCTGTTCCTGTTTACCTGTCAGTAAAATAGGTACTTGGGTGTTAGCCGACTGGTGTGGGTCGCATCCTGGGGGACAAAATTAACATAATTTGCCCGAAATGCACAGCATAGCAAGGGGCTTTCTAAATATAGTAGTATGTCATTGATGTCAGTTAGGCCTGTATACCTCGTAAATATGCTTGTAGAAATAAAGATTATTATTAGAATTATTATTATTATTATTATTATTATTATTATTATTATTATTATTATTATTATTATTATTACCGTACCATACTGCCGGCATTGTCATAGGCCAGTGAAGATGATAAGATTATCCTGTACTTTACGTGTAATAAGAATAGGAAAAAATAACAGTAATATCAACAACAGAGTTTAAGGCTTCTTACCCTAAGGAGACCAGTAGTCCAGCTGTCGTACCCAAGGCAAAGATGAGCCAAGGTGGGATGACCTTAATTATTTTCATAGTGTCTGTCAACAACTGTGCCCCGCTGTCTTTACAATATTTAATTTTCTGAAACAAAAGAGGTTACGAGACCTTACCTGCTACTGTCAGTGAATAAACAGCAGGATGGTTGGTGGGGGGCGCGAACAGCGGTTCATAAATTGACAAACCATACCCCCGGCCGGGATTGAACCCGCGGTCATAGAGTCTCAAAACTCCAGCCCGTCGCGTTAGCCACTAGACCAGCTAGCCACAATAAGATTCATCCAACTAGGTATATTTCTACAATAGGAAAGTTAGCAACAGCACCTCTGTGACCACAAATGCAATGTTTTTACAGACGAATCTTTAGCTAGTGGCCGTGACGAACTTACTCATATTCTTCATGCCGTAAACATGACTCAAGAAATTGAATGACACGATTGCAAAAAAACCAATACCCCGGCCGGGTATGAACCCGGGTTTCATCCCGGCGGGGGGTATGGTTTTTTATATATAAATAAATTATATATATATATATGCTTTATTTATAATTTATTAATTCGTAATATTATTTAAATAAAATACGAACAATATCATACATATATATTGATATAATTATATATATTATATAATATATTATATTATATAAATTTATATATATTAAAATGCACGATAAAATCACACTTTTTCAAGATATTAATGAATGACCCCGTTGAGCCATTATCTCGGGGAAAGAACAACAAAAATTACTCGAGTCTTTCAAAGAGGAAGTGTAGCACTCACTGCAGACACCGACGTTTCTCTGGTCGTTATTGCTGGAGTAACGAGCCAATACTTTTTATGCTAGACAGGCTAAATTGTAAATAATATTGCTTGCGTCATCGTTTCAATTTCCATGTAGACTTTCCTGGTGAGATACCTTAATGTTACAACTCCAAAGAAACGACACAAAATCCAACGAGCACATTGGTGCGACCGTAAAATGGTGAATATCGAGTTACTGAAGAGAACCTTAGATGTCGGCTAGACGGGAATCGTCTTCCATCTGAGAATTGTCGCTTTATTTTAGTTTCTCTCGCGCTTCCTCCAGCATTATGCCACATCATTCATCATTTTCTTACCTAATTTTCCTGCTTCGTATTTCTGTTCTTGTTTAACATCATTAGACCCATTGCATTATGGAAGTACGATTTACTGGACATAAGTATGAGCCGGGGGAAGAGGGGGTGGGGATGGGATGAGATGATAAAAAATAGTAAGAGGCAGGTCTGGGACAAACTGCCTCAGAGGCTAAATATATGGACTGCTGGTGAAGGCTGGTATTTCAAATGGGAATAAGGTAAGGTAGAGTGAAATTAGTTCCGAGGTTACCACAGCCACATATGTCCTCGCAACATGAAATATGCCTAGTGCTACTCGGTACATGATATTTGTAGGACTTACGGCCCAGTCGTTAGTTTTGATTTGCTTCCCAAGAAGCGGGCTACAGTAACAGCTAGAGAGAGCAGAAGTGAAAAATAGTTTTCAGTCTATTAAGTATTCACGTAAATTTGTGTTCATTTAATTTGTTTAATATACGCAAAACATTCGAATAAACAGTACTGCTAATGAAACTCTTATGGTGGGCGTTTAGATGTTCAAGTGAGCGATGGTGGGGAAAGGTCGCCGCCGACCACTACTCCGACCTAAAAGCTCTTTCCGTCTATTGGAATATTCCTGGAGAGGGTTTCGGGGGTCAACGCCCCCGCGGCCCGGTCTGTGACCAGGTCTCATGGTGGATCAGGGCCTGATGAACCGGACTGTTACTGTTGGCCGCACGCAACCCGACCTACGAACCACAACCCGATTGGTCAAGTACTGACTTCAGGTGCCTGTCCAGTTCCTTCTTGAAGACAGCCAGGGGTGTATTTGTAATCCCCCTTATATATGCTGGGAGGCAGCTGAACAGTCTTGGGCCTCTGACACTTATTGTGTTGTTTCTTATCGTGTTAGTGGCGCCCCTGTTTTTTTTTTTTTTTTTTCATTTTGGGGATGTTGCATCGTCTGCCGAGTCTTTTGCTTTCATAGGGAATGATTTTCGTGTGTAAATTTGGTACTAATCCCTCTAGGATTTTCCAAGTGTATATAATCATGTATCCCTCCTGCCTGCGTTCTAGTGAGTACAGGTTGAGGAACTTCAAGCGTTCCTAGTAATTAAGGTATTTTATCCCAGTTGTGTGTACCGAGAAGGTTCTCTGTACATTTTCTAGGTCAGCAATTTCACCTGCCTTGAATGGTGCTGTTAGTGTGTAGCAATATTCCAGCCTAGATAGAACAAGTGACCTGAAGAGTGTCATCATGGGCTGTATAACCCTTACGGGTTTACCCATTGAAAGTAAAGCTGCTGCTACGACTACTACTACTACTACTACTGATAATAATAGTAGTAATAAATAATAATAATAATTGAGCTACTCTGCACACCTTCATATTCTCGCTACAATGACTTAATTTAATTAAGGTTAAAGGGCTACACTTGTAGGGGTCACAGAGCGCCTGTGGAATTGGAGGCAATCAAGTTCGACCCGTGGGAGGCGAGTATAAATCCAGTTGCTTGAATCAAGACCCCCTCACCGGCCTTGAAGGTTATCCGTCCTACAGTTTGCGTATTCCTCGCAGTTCAGCGAGTTAGAGCGACTCTCACCAACAGTCTGATGGATCAGAGACCGCACTCCCCCCACCAATAACAGACCGATGATAAAATCTCCACCAGTCATTATTCTGAATGATCCATACTGGTTTAGTCTTCCATGAAGTACAATATACCGAAACATGTTATAAATTTTGTGTGTGTGTGTGTGTGTGTGTGTGTGTGTGTGTGTGTGTGTGTGTGTGTGTGTGTGTGTGTGTACTCACCTATTTGTACTCACCTATTTGTGATTGCAGGGGTCGAGTCTTAGCTCCTGGCCCCGCCTCTTCACCGGTTGCTACTGGGCCCTCTCTCTCCCCGCTCCATGAGCTTTATCAAACCTCGTCTTAAAACTGTGTATGGTTCCTGCCTCCACTACCTCATTTTCTAGGCTATTCCACTGCCTTACAACTCTATGACTGAAGAAATACTTCCTAATATCTCTCTGACTCATTTGTGTCTTCAACTTCCAATTGTGGCCTCTTGTTTCTGAGTCCCCTCCCTGGAACATCCTGTCTTTGTCCACCTTCTCTATTCCACGCAGTATTTTATATGTCGTTATCATGTCTCCCCTGACCCTCCTGTCCTCCAGTGTCGTCAGGCCGATTTCCCTTAATCTTTCTTCATAGGACATTCCCCTTAGCTCTGGAACTAACCTTGTGGCAAACCTTTGTACTTTCTCTAGTTTCTTGACGTGCTTTATCAAGTGCGGGTTCCAAACAGGTGCTGCATACTCCAGTATGGGCCTGACATACACGGTGTACAGTGTCTTGAACGATTCCTTACTAAGGTATCGGAATGCTGTTCTCAGGTTTGCCAGGCGCCCATATGCTGCAGCAGTTATCTGATTGATGTGTGCTTCCGGAGACATGTTCGGTGTTATACTCACCCCAAGATCTTTCTCCTTGAGTGAGGTTTGCAGTCTTTGGCCACCTAGCCTATACTCTGTCTGTGGTCTTCTGTGCCCTTCCCCTATCTTCATGACTTTGCATTTGGCAGGATTAAATTCGAGAAGCCATTTGCTGGACCAGGTGTCCAGTCTGTCCAGGTCTCTTTGAAGTCCTGCCTGGTCCTCATCAGATTTAATTCTCCTCATTAACTTCACATCATCTGCAAACAGGGACACTTCTGAGTCTAACCCTTCCATCATGTCGTTCACATATACCAAAAATAGCACTGGTCCTAGGACCGACCCCTGTGGGACCCCGCTCGTCACAGGTGCCCACTGTGATACATCATTACGTACCATGACTCGTTGTTGCCTCCCTGTCAGGTATTCTCTGATCCATTGCAGTGCCCTTCCTGTTATATGCGCCTGATGCTCTAGCTTCTGCACTAATCTCTTGTGAGGAACTGTGTCAAAGGCCTTCTTGCAGTTCAAGAAGATGCAATCAACACACCCCTCTCTCTCATGTCTTACTTCTGTTATTTTATCATAAAACTCCAGAAGGTTTGTGACACAGGATTTGCCTTCCGTGAATCCGTGCTGGTTGGCATTTATACTCTTGTTCCGTTCCAGGTGCTCCACCACTCTCCTCCTGATAATCTTCTCCATAATTTTGCATACTATACACGTCAATGCCACAGGTCTATACTTTAGTGCCTCTTTTCTGTCTCCTTTTTTAAAAATGGGAACTACATTTGCCGTCTTCCATACCTCAGGTAGTTGCCCAGTTTCCAGGGACGTGTTGAAGATTGTGGTAAGTGGCACGCACAACATATCTGCTCCCTCTCTAAGGACCCACGGGGAGATGTTGTCCGGTCCCATTGCCTTAGGCTTAGAGGTATCGATGTCCCTTAGCAGTTTCCTCACCTCCTCCTCATCTGTATGTATGTCGTCCAACACTTGTTGGTGTATTCCTTGCTGGTGTCCCCATCTGGTCTGTCCCCCCAGAGTCCTTCCTGTCTCTACTGTAAATACTTCCTTAAATCTCGTGTTGAGCTCCTCACATACCTCTTGATCGTTTCTTGTGAGTTCTCCACCTTCTTTCCTCAGCCTTATCACCTGGTCCTTGACTGTTGTCTTCCTCCTAATGTGGCTATACAGCAGTTTCGGGTCAGATTTGACTTTCGATGCTATGTCGTTTTCATACTGTCGCTGTGTGTGTGTGTGTGTGTGTAAGGTAAGTAGAAGTGACCTTTAATTGCTTTTATGGGAAATAATATGAAATTTGTTCTTATGAAACTCAAGTTCATTTCTGAATGACACTTTCTTATCGACCCCAAAGTATTTTGTCTTATTCTTCTCAATTCTGATCATTTAAAATCAATATATTAATTAATAACTCCAGGTAAGAACAGGAACCATTAGCTTATTTGAACGATTGTTTTACAAAATAACGTTAGGGAACAGTTAGTCAAATCCTTTTCTTTGGCAGTTGCAAATTAATATGTCGAGTGTGAAGCAACACAAGGAGGACTTCCCAAGACCAGAGATTCTGAATAATCTCTCTGAAGATGTAGAAGAATGGTTACCACCAGAGCCAGTCTATGTTTAAGACAATAAAAACCATCCTTACTGATGATACCTTACAACATCTAATCAAGTAGCATCCGAAAACTACCTACGGCAGGACACCACCTCATAATCAGACCAGCTGGCCACCAGCTCCAGGCAGGCGCCTTACAAGCCCAAAGAACTTGCCTCCTGCGCTGAAAAAATGGCAGTAACAAAAAATGTACCTGCCACTAACTCACTGTCATGCGGGTGTGCATCTTGCATATATGTGTGCCTTTGATGGATGGTGTGGTTTACACAGTCATCTGATTATTATACACAACACACACACCTTCATTAATATAAGCCAAAGTGGCTGGGCCACTCACCTTTGTTACCTCTTCTCCTAACCCCCTACCCACCCATCCTTCATATTCCTTCCTTACCTATCCCTCTTCCTTCCCCAACTTACCAAAGCTCTGGTCAAAGCTTCGTCTTCCTGTGTTAGTAACATCCTGGGGATGACATGGCAGCTGGGTTACCTCTTGAGGTCCGCTCTCAGCAAGTTTAGTCTAGTTTTTTGACCTACTCTTGTGGCATTCCATGCTCACGTCCTATATAACGAGTGTTAGGTTTCCCACGGTTTGGTAATTCACTGGTAGAGTATACCGACGGTATGTAAATAATACTTTAAGTTTGTTTAGTATCTTTATTATGCACGTCATACTCATTCTTTGGGTGGTAGTCAAAAGATTACAGAGACGCATAATGGGTCCAGAAACTGGGCCTGAAAATTTTGATAGCTGAGCAAGTTACAGTGGTAATGAAATATTTACATATTTATATTTGGTTATAACCATAATAAGTTATTTATACAGACTTTAATTCAGTCACAAAAATATTACATTGTAGCTTTTATGTGGTTTTGAGTTATTTACAGTAACCAAAGTCAGGGTGTTTTTCCAGAATGTCTGGTAATATGCTACTGTAGTTAAAATACTTCGACATTTCTTGAATTTGTATGAGTGAATTATCTCCGAATTATTTGATTGCAGTCCAACACATAATGACACAAGTTGTGGCAGCCCATCTGGTAAAGTTTACATTTAGTTATTTTTTTTATATTTTATTTAAAAACATGGCATTACATGAAATAAATATATAAAAAACATGACAGTCTATAGTATTAATACTACCCTACCGTCGTCAAGCAGAACACTACACTCACAACTATGTATGGATACCCCCCCCCCCCCTTGCTCCCCTTTCCTATGAACTGTCCCAAATCCTAAATTCAATTCATCAAACCTGTTGGATCCACCCAACAGAATTACATATATATATAAACAAATCTGATAACCTGTACATCCCGATAGGGTATACACACTTAGAGGCCGCAGACAGCCTCTTCCATCACACAGTGACAGCGTACCTCCGACCACAAAGAAATTCGGGACACTATCATGAAATATATATCACCGACATAAGTATTTCCCTAATTACATCTAGGGATCCTATAAAAATTCCCTCTCCCCCCCCCCGGTGGTTATCCTCTCCTCCCCCTGCTATTCACAGCCTAACAGACATATACTATTATAATAATGGCTATTTGCCCAAAATCCTGAGCACATAAACATGTACGGACCAACAAAGGCTCACTAACACCACTACAGGTTATGTACCTATAAATCAATAAAAAAAACATTACAGTGCAAAGTACACAAAATAAATATTAAACAATTACATTTAATCAACAGGACATGACATGCAAATATATATTTCCAATACCTCTTCAAGCAATAATTCATTGCAAGCACACATAACAGACATTGATCAAATACGTTTAATAAACATGCTAAATCATGCATGTATATAGTGACAGTACCTCCTCAAGCAATAACGCCAGACACCTTAATTACAAAGTTATATCAGAACATGTCACCGAACACTATTCAAGCTCTCAGGACAAACAGGCCAAAACGTGCAGTTATCTGGTGACTGTGCCACTTCAAGCAATAATGCACACACATGAAATACAAAGTATAACGCATCATCTCTCTTAACACTGTTCAAACTCTCAGGCCAAACAGGCTGAGACATGCAGATCACTAGTGACAAACAGTAATGCCATACACATTAAATATAAAAATATATCACATCATCTCTCTGAACACCGTTCGAAATCTCAGGCCTTACACCATTCAGTGCAAAGCACCCAGAACAAATGAAGCAAGTACATGTAACAAACAGGATAAAACATCCAGATTATAGTGCCAGTACCTCTGCAAGCAAAAATGCCACACACAGTATATACAAAATTATATCAGAGCATCGCCAAACAATAAACGGTAATGCTATATATAAGAAGCTTATCACACATATTAATATACCACACTCTAAGCCCACCTTCCCCAAAACCCTTCTAACTCACAATCCCACACACACAAACAGTCAAACCTCTGCGACACACACACCCCAACACGCAAGCCCCCTCCCCCCCGGGGGAGGCCAGCCCGTTCATACCCCTGACAATCTATAAAACCCATAAATCTTTCAATTGGAAATCTCTATAGCCCTCCAGGAAATCCCTCTCCCACCTTCCCCCATATATTTCCCTGTTGCGACACTTTGTCCTATAAAAAGTTGCAGCTAGGGCCATCCTACGTTCCCCCGCCCCTTTATCTCTCATTGCCCACGATATAAAAACGAAATCAACAACTAAGTAAGCCACCGCCCTTTGAACTTTCACCCCTACCCCACCTACATCTAAATTGAGCGCCCTCAAAACCGACAACCCTCCCCCCCCCCAACATACTGAATCCCTTTCCCCATCCATTCCCTCACAACCCCTAGGTGTTTGCAAAAGTAGACTACATGAAAAGCCGACTCATCTACCCTACAATCTTGACACATCCCATCCTCCCTTATTCGTCGATTATGTAAAACTACCCCTGATGGCAAAATTCCGTGGAGAAACCTGTACATTACCTCCCTCACACTTGGCCGGATGCAACCCTTTTAACCGACCCAAATGTCTTCCCATGCGTACATCGGGTATGCCCCTTCCACAGCCACTGCCTCCCTAGGCCATAGCTTCCTCTCTATGGACCCTTTGTAGATGAATGGCTCAGAGAACCGACATGTTGATAAATTAGACACATGTGCAACTCTAGGGTATCTTTATTGAGGAAACGTTTCGCCACACAGTGTCTTCATCAGTCCATACAAAGGAGAATCTTGAAGAACAGGAGGAGAATGAGGTAATCAGTCCCTCAACCTTGAGTTGATGTGGTCAGTCCATCAATCTTGAATAAAATGCGGCATACGTGCAGAGAAGGAGCTTATAAACCGTAGGCAGGAGAGGTGCAGCAGTCATAGGTGGTGTCACATTAGTTCAATGTGGAAGTAGATCGTGCCCAAGAATTAGGCAAGCGAAGAATTCCTAAGTATTAAGATCCCAAGTTGCAGTGTCTGACAGGTTTGTAGATGAATGGTTCAGAGAACCGACATGTTGATAAATTAGACACATGTGCAACTCTAGGGTATCTTTATTGAGGAAACGTTTCGCCACACAGTGGCTTCATCAGTCCATACAAAGGAGAATCTTGAAGAACAGTAGGAGAATGAGGTAATCAGTCCCTCAACCTTGAGTCGATGTGGTCAGTCCATCAATCCTGCCTACGGTTTATAAGCTCCTTCTCTGCACGTATGCCGCATTCTATTCAAGATTGATGGACTGACCACATCGACTCAAGGTTGAGGGACTGATTACCTCATTCTCCTCCTGTTCTTCAAGATTCTCCTTTGTATGGACTGATGAAGCCACTGTGTGGCGAAACGTTTCCTCAATAAAGATACTCTAGAGTTGCACATGTGTCTAATTTATCTATGGACCCTACCCGCATGTTCTTCGGATCTCTGACGAGCATTAATACACGCACCTATCGTAAGGGGTTCAACTCCTCACAATCTCGCAAATCCCGTCCCCTCCACCATCTTCGAATATCTTCCTGCACAATCCTCAGCCCTCCACCCCCCTCCCCACGCACCCGCAGGAACCCATGCTTCACATATACGGTCTTCAGCCTTCGTTCCAAGTGAATTAGCCCCAGCCCTCCCTTGGCCACCGGAAGTGTTACCACCCCCCTTCTTAACCAATTGCATCCCGAACCCCAAATAAAACGGAAAACCCTACCCAACAGTCCCCGAACATCCCCATACACCAAAGGGTACAACGGTGCCACATGCCATATTTTACTAAATAGAAGCACATTGACCACAATGACCCTCTGGTGTAGCGTAAGATGTGTCGGCCACAACCCAGTCAATCTTCCCAGCACTTTATCTACTACACCCTTTGAATTAACCTCTCTTGCCATCTGCGCATCACCCATATACACCACACCACAAATCTTAAGCCGATCCACAACACACCACCCTCCCGCCCATTCCATGCCCCTAATCTCATGAGCTTTGCTTTATCCACATTCACTGCCATACCTGCAGCTGCCCCCAAAACATCCAAGACCCTCCCCAGACCCTCCAATCCCTTTCTCCCACTCACTAGGACTGTCGTGCCATCGACATAACCTATGATACCAGGTCTCCTACCACTTAAATCATCCCTTACCCCCTCCCGTACACACTGTTCCACTGCCCTGTAAAAAGGATTCCGTAAACATGCAAATAGTACTTGTGATAGTGAGCATCCCTGTCTCAATCCCCTGCCCATTTGCACATGCGACCCCACCCTCCCATTAATCTGCACACACATTCCGGCTCCCTGATATAAAGTACGTGCCCATTTCACTATTTCCTCCCCAAACCCCTGCCACCTCATGATTCTCCACAAAGCCTTCCTCTTGACACTATCATACGCCACCCTCCAATCCAGCGCTAATACCCCTCCTTCCCCCTCACACGGACACTCAATAAACCTAATAACCCCATGCCCCTCATACATTGATCTCCCCGGTATCCCATATTGGTCCCATACTATAACAGTTCCAATGACCCTCTTAATATGGTTTCCCAAAATTTTCGCAAAGAGTTTGTAGTCTGCACACATGAGTGATATCATTCAATAATTCCTCACCATGTACTGACTATCACCCTTTGGTACCAAAATTACAATCACTGTCACTTGCAACTCCCCCAACTCACCCCGCTCTTTCATGATATTAAACAATTGCACCAGACAGTCCTTCAATACACCCCAGTGCTGTATATAAAAGTCGGCAGGCAGCCCATCTATCCCCGGTGCCTTACCCTGACTCATACCCATTAATGCCATCCACACCTCCTCAACGATAGTCCCCTGTAACTGTTCCCTGTCGTCCCTGTCAAGCACACACTGCACCCAATCTCCCATCTCCCTTAACTCTCCCTCACTCACACCAGAACTTCTCATATATGCACTAAGCCAAGCATCAACATATCCCCTATCCCCTCTGTTGTAACCAGCTCTTGCTCCTTCCTATACCCCTCCATGTCCTCGTGGACCCGCAATCCTACCATTTCCATAGCAATGCACCGATGCGCCTGCCCTCGCAGGACACACGCAGACAGCCTATCACCCCTTATCACCTCCTCTAATCCCCCTAAAACCCTTACCTCATCAAACCGTTCATTTTGCAATTCCTTGAGTCTTTCCTTCAATCCCTCTATGTCTGCCACTGGGGCTCCCACCCCCCTTCCTCTCTCATAATACTCCCTTAACTGCCCCTCAAGATACCTAATAAACCCATAAGCCAGCTGGTTCTCATGCCTCCCCTGGCAAACGTAGAATTCTCGAATACTCGTCTTCGCCATTGTATCCCACCAGCTCAACACATCCCCTTCACGCATGCCCCATCCCACAAACTTTCCCACAAATGTGCAAATAAGACCCTCCCCTTGACATCTTGAAGTAACCGAGCATTCAATTTCCAATACTTCTTATACCTGTTCGGCCATCCCTCCCATCCCAATTCCACCAAAACACCTCTGTGATCTGAAAAAAACATATCCAAGACACTTATTCTCCGAACCACTGCTTTTCTCATTCCGTATAGTCTGTCCAGCCTCGCCGCATACCCCTGCTTCACAAAGGTGTGCTCCACCTCCCATGCCACACCCCCCACATCCACCAACCCATCCCGGTTTACAGCTCCCTCAAAATGCCAGAACAATATCCTGCCCCCCTAGGTTCCACATCCCTACGACGTATCACACAATTCCAGTCACCTCCCACCACAGCTACTGCCGGAAGCGACCTCAGGTGATATACCAACACATCACGTACAAACTTATTCTTGACCCGACTGTCCCCCTCCGCCGGACCATAAACACACACAAAAGATATCTTCTCCCTTCCCCACATCCCATCCACTCGTATAACCCTCCCCTCCCCTCCCTCCTCGCAATGATGTACAGTAAACGGGCTAGCCTCCTCATCAAAATAGCCACTCCTCCTTTCAATCTCGGTGAGTGTGCCGCATATACAGTGTACCCCTCAATCACCAACATACAACCTGGGTTGTGACTGTGTCCTGTACAAACACAACATCTACACCATACCTAATGAGAAGGTCACGAAACCATGCACACTTTCTATCATTTCTCAGTCCATTAATATTTATAGTGAGACTCTTGAAGCCATCAAAGGAGGGTTGCCTTTATGCACTGCTACACCCCTTTCCCCCTTCCTCCTAATACTTCCTTGGTCCTCATACACCTCTGTGGGAACCTTCTTTCGCAGATCCCTTGCCCCTGGACCCACCAGGTCCACACTCCTCCACATCTGCCCAAACCTTTTTACCCAAACGCTGTGCCGGAGTGAGTACATTGTTCATATCCGAGATCATGGCTGCTCTCTTCCATGACCCTTGAGCCTTCCTCCCAGCCTCCACCCGGAAGCCATCCTTGTGCACTTCTACCACCACAGTACCAATCTGCAAATCAGCATCAACTTGGGCCTCCGACATGCCCCCCCCACACCTCCTGGAACCACTGCAGACTCCAGGGCACCCATAAGCCCCTCAATGGAGACCTCACCTGGGGTTCCTAACAGGTCGTGGGGCACTGTGTCAATGGTGGCCTCCACGTCCCTGTCCTCATCAAGCGACACCTCACCTACGGTCTCCGGTGCCTGCCCGGAAGAGTTCTGCTCCCCCGGAAGTGTTACACACTTTCCCTCCCTCAATTCAGCCTCATCGACTTCCACACTCCAAGCCTTACGCAAAGTAAGCGTCTCAGGCCGTGTCTCCTCCGTCGTCTCCTGTTCCTCCGGTGCCTCCTTATGTTGAGCATCCACCTGTGAACCCTGCCGTTGAACACACTGCCATTGAACACATAGGCGCCGCACAAGCGACAAGCACGTCGTTGCCTCGCGTAGGTCACCATCACTTGTGTCCTGAAATCGTCAAGGTAAACATAGGAAGGAATGGGATGCCTTAATGTCATTTTCAAAGAGAAACTTTTCTCAGGCATCCCAGCATGTGATCCTTCCTTCCATTTTCCCAATGTCGCCATGTGAACTGTCCCGTACTTCTCAAACACGGCACGCAGGTCCACCTCATCAGCCTCGAAAGGTACGTTCCGGATCTTCACCCACGTGTAGTAGCAGGACACATCATGGAGCTTCGCTGTCACAGCAGGATTTACCGGCACACAAAGATCCTGAAATCTGGCGACCGTGTCTTCATATACACTAGCATTGCGAAGCTTCACAAAGATCTGGTATGCCCCATTCAAAGCCACACCATACAGCTCCTCATTTGCAAAGCCATATGTGTCCCTGATGATGGCAGGCAGTAAAACCTGAGCCGAGTGGGCATACACAGCCCCACGAACCACTTCTTGCCGACAGTATTAACCCGGTGTCTACCCTGCTGCACCATTTTGTGAAAATCAAGTTGTCACCAGCTGACAGCAGGGAAAGGCTCAGCGCACGTCCACTCGTTCCGAGGGTTGAGTGACGAATCAACATTAGTTATTTATGTCTACAGCAGCTAGTGATGCCAGCCAGAGCCTGGCAGTAGTGACATTCAAAAGTCTGATGATTTTAGTTGATGCACCGTAGACATCAGGCTCCTGCACTGTAGAATGATCATAATGATAGATGGACTGACTGGTGTCTCTCTCCTATTATTGTCCACAAGCTACAAGTTGACAGTCCAAGACTGTAATCTACTCCCCCCTCCAAGGCATATATGCCTTTGCCAATTCATCAGTTCTATCATGTGAGGTCGAATCCGCAGGTGTACTCGGGCTCCATGTCTACCATCCTACCACTCCTGTGTCTGGCTGCAACACAAGCATGCTACAACTGACATTCATGGAGTTAAGAGCATTTATGAACGATACAGAAACAGTTACAATAAATATTGAGGCATTTGATTTCAAGGAGTATAGCAGACAATTAATTTTGAAGGGTAGAAACCCAGTTGTTGATGAGACATCACTCTGCAGGACAACAATGGCACTCCCTGCTGCACCAGTGGATTGGTGAACAGAGCTATCAACCTCCATAAAAAACAAAAAGGCACAATACCGTGACTTGACAATACACAAATAACTTGCACATAGGAGAGAGAGAGAGAGAGAGAGAGAGAGAGAGAGAGAGAGAGAGAGAGAAGCTGGCGATAACGTTGGGGTCTGACTTGAACCATATACAAAGTCACACTTTGTAAGCTTGTCTTTCCTATGTGCAGGTTATTTGTGTATCAACCTACATAATTTTTGAAAGAGGGTGCTGTATGACTTAGGCATCAATATAGCTTAAGGAACCATGCTTGGCTTCAAGACGAAGCTTTGGATGTAATTTAAGTTTTCTGAGGGCAATCGAAGGATCATTGTTTGGAAGGAATTTCCCACGGTGCATTGTGGGCTATGGAATTTTACTGAAGAAGCGTTTCGTTCGCCAGGGATTCTATGGATCCCCACAGAGAACAAGACATGGGTATTATTTATAGGCGATGCAGAGACGCTTCCCACGAAATGAATCATGAGGATGCATTATATGAGAGTAAATTGGTCACGGCAGTGGTATCTATAGTACATCCAACAAAATAAGGAGACCCCTGGATGTCACTACCGCCCGGCTCCGGCTGGGACGTAAGTATCTTTGGGAAGTTAAATCACCACCACCAGATGTATACCACAACCTCCGGTAAGGACAGATCTGTAGGAGAGTACACCTGTCTCTACTGAGAAAACAAGCCTACTTGAATGTCAAGTGTTTAGGAGAGTACACTAGTATACTTCGATGTCAAATCTATAGGAGAGTACACTCGTCCCTGAAGTAAGGGCAAGTCTATAAGATAATGCATTTGTCTCTCGACTTAGGGCAGGTCTAATTGGAGAATACACTTATCTCTTCAGTAAGGGCAGGTCTAAAGGGCCTGGAGGTCTGCACGTATCTCTACTACGAGGGCAGGTCTACAGGATAGTGCACTTGTCTCTACTACGAGGGCAGGTCTACAGGATAGTGCACTTGTCTCTACTACGAGGGCATGTCTACAGGATAGTGCACTTGTCTCTACTACGAGGGCAGGTCTACAGGATAGTGCACTTGTCTCTACTACGAGGGCAGGTTTACAGGATAGTGCACTTGTCTCTACTACGAGGGCAGGTCTGCAGGATAGTGCACTTGTCTCTACTACGAGAGCAGGTCTACAGGATAGTGCACTTATCTCTACTACGAGGGCAGGTCTACAAGATAGTGCACTTGTCTTTACTACGAGGGCAGGTCTACAGGATAGTGCACTTGTCTCTACTACGAGGGCAGGTCTACAGGATAGTGCACTTGTCTTTACTACGAGGGCAGGTCTACAGGATAGTGCACTTGTCTCTACTACGAGGGCAGGTCTACAGGATAGTGCACTTATCTCTACTACGAGGGCAGGTCTACAGGATAGTGCACTTGTCTTTACTACGAGGGCAGGTCTACAGGATAGTGCACTTGTCTCTACTACGAGGGCAGGTCTACAGGATAGTGCACTTGTCTCTACTACGAGGGCAGGTCTACAGGATAGTGCACTTGTCTCTACTACGAGGGCAGGTCTCAGGCGCGCAGTTCAAGTGTCGGCAGCTCTTTAAAGGCGAACACTCAAGTTTATTGTTGTTAAGAGCCTCCCTGGCGGCCATCTTGAGTATCTCTGGGATCCCTTCTCCGTTCCTCGAGTTACACTCCAGGTAGGCCACGGCATCCATGTCCCTGGCCACGGCTGCTGCTTCCTCGTATTCCACCACCGTGTCCTGGTTCTGCTGCTTCTGTGTGGCTTTAGCGGCCTCCCGCACCTCCTACACGCAAAAATAACCATGTTTATTGTTTCCATTATTATTCTTGTCATTAAAGAACAAAAAGGTACAATACCCGCACATAGGAGACACTTATGACGACGTTTCGGTCCAACTTGGAGCATTAACTGAAACCTCATGAATCTCTTTCTCCTATGTGCGAGTTATTCGTGTATTATTATTATTATTATTATTATTATTATTATTATTATTATTATTATTATTATTATTATAATTATTATTATTTATTTATTTACAAAATGTGTGGAAAATTTTTACATAATTTCCTGAATGTAGGACATATAAATGAATAATTTAAAAATTGCGTATTAAAATATGATGCTATTTAGACTCTTTGAAAATTTTTAAGTGAAGGTGGGTGTGGAAGAGCTGGAGAGTGACGCGGACGGAGAGACACCATTTGTAATGTGGGAACGCTGGTTGTTGTGGGAAATTCTGCTAATAATCCGGCATCTTCCAAGCCAAATTGGGGGTTTCGGCCTGAATTTATAATTAGGAACCCGTGTTAATGTCCCCTGCTGAAGAATTGGGACATAAAATTTATGGGACCTCAAGAATTGCATGTGGAGGACAGAAAAATAGAGGACTTTAATGAATCCTTCATAACAACACACCTTAGCTAAGTGACGCTTACCCGTAAAGTACAGTAGTTTTTGTGTTGGCCATCGTAAATCCTATCTGCTAGGGTAGTGTTAGGGTGTGTTCCATCACCATTATCTTCCAGTAATTAAATGGTAAGTGTTAATACCAATTATATTTTGTGTACCCAACAAGCCTAATCGTATACAGTCCACACAACTTTAATTACCTGAGTAGCTGGTTTTAATGTTATAATTATTAATTTAACGTCAGGTCTAGCTTTTTGTGAGAGTGGTGAAGAAGTGGGCAGTCGAAGGAGTTACAGTTCAGTGACCTAATGTGACTAAGTCCCATTTACCTCACCCAAATTACTTGCAGGTAATAATTCAGGTAAGTCTTCTTCAGGTGATTTGCTTACATAATAATAATAATAATAATAATAATAATAATAATAATAATAATAATAATAATAATTTCACAAAAAATGCATACAACCCGTGTTGGTTATTCAGCGCTAAGTGGAAGGCACTAGAGGCAGAGTTGTAGACTAAAATAGACCGGTGAGGGGTGAGTGGGAAGAGGAAATAAGAGATTAGTGGGAGAAAGAGGAAGGGCTGGAGAGTAAAAAATAGACCAGGACTAAATACAGAAGCGGAGCACTATGTGGCTGAGTTGCAGTGTTCGCAATTTGCGATTTTTGCTCGCAGTGATCAGCCTGCAGCTCAAGTTATAATCGGCGGCAGGACGCATTGGATTGCCGGGGTGAAGCGAGCACCAGAACGACATAAGCCGCTTTTGAAACTCGTAGTAATAACTGTGATGGCATAGCTCTGGCGGCAATGAGGAGTGTGATTGGGTAGAGGATGGTGTTGGTGGGTCCATCCCTGGAGTAAAGCAGGGTTAGAGAGAGGCTGGAAGAGGTTGAGAAGGTCATGATGGCGCCTGAGTGTCCGTGGTTCAATCCCCGGTATGGGCGGAAACAATGGGTGTGTTTCCTTATACCTGTTGTCCCGTTCACCTAGTAAGCAAGTAGGTACCTGGGTGTAAATCGACTGGTGCGGGTCGCATCCTGGGGAACAAGATTGAGGACCGCAATGAAAATAAGACAGATAGTCCCTCGATGATGCACTGCCTCTCTTGGGTTATCCTGGATGGCTAACCCTCCGGAGTTAAAAATCCGAACAAAATCTTCTCTTATTGTCTCGTCGAGAGGTAGGTTGTCCATGAGGCGAGGTAAGTCTTCAGTTGGTCGAATTGCCTGTCGCTGAGTTTCCAGAAGAGGCTGAGAGCTGGGATGCCAACCCTCAGGTGGCGAGACTCACTTGTGAAATCCTGCCACCTCACGTTCAACACCCAGTACAACGCTTGGTTCTGGATTCGCTGCAGTTTTAGGAAATTCGAACTGGCAGTCAGCGAGAGAGAGAGAGAGAGAGAGAGAGAGAGAGAGAGAGAGAGAGAGAGAGAGAGAGAGAGAGAGAGAGAGAGAGAGAGTGAGTAAGCAGCGTATTTGTGATATGGGGCCGTATGAGGGCTTTGTAGAAGTGTAGTTAGTTGTGTTGCCTAATCGGTTAGCTCATTGTGCACCCCCATGCTCATCCTGCGAACGGTAAGCGTAAAAAACGAAAAAGATTGAAGAGGCCACAATGAACATTGTTACATCACCAGAAAGAAATATTAGTCTTTTTATGTTTTATAATTATTTCATATAGAACAAACACACCTTATGGCAGCCAACAAGAATAACTGGAGTGTCCGGGATGTACCAGGCGACTTCCGGCCGCCATCTCTCTCTTGCCAGACGTAATGATGCTGGGGAGGTGACGGAGAAGCAGATCAAGACCACATGTTGACCCAAGTAACTGTAGGCTCCCAGACTACTGTCGTGGCAACTGGCGTAGTAACCTCGACTGCACCAGAGTTTCACCTGTGACGAGGCACAAGCATCAATAACTGTATTCTGTTGTTGTAAAACTGGATACCTAGGTGTGTAAAAATTGGAAGCGCGTCTGTCTCTCGCTCAGCAGACAAAGGATCAAGCCTCCACCACGACTTGCGCTGAATAACCCACACGGGTGTAGCGCCTATCATGAATTATATAAATATTAGTATTATGTACAACTGATGTTTGTTTACATTTGGGCAGCTAAGCTTTGGTAGTAAGAAAGCAGCAAATACTGATAACTTAAAGAGAGACGGACACAAATGTATTAACTTAGGACACCTTTACTGAAACCGTTTTGGTCATAGTACCCTGATCACCTCAAATATGTGCTACCACTGATGAGACAAGACTTCAGGAAGATTTCTGTTTAAGGGAGAATAAGCTATAAACATGGACAGGGAAGAGAGTAATAGTAATAGTGGTGATGGTATTAATATTCTCTGGTAGTGGTAGATACAGAACACCGAAAGTGAAGAAGAGGTTGTTTCACGTGTCAGTCCCGGGAAATCATGTTGTAAGATCTTATGTGCCAAGGCTGTGTAAATGATAAAACTGCAAACTTTTTGAAACCTGGTAATAAGGTGACATTGTGGGATGACTCACGAAATCGTAATGACACGATTGCAAACAAACCATACCACGGGCGGGGATAGAACCCGCTATCAGAGTCTCAAAACTCCAGACTGTCGCGTTAGCCACTGGTTCTATCCCCACTCGTGGTATGGTCTGACATTGTGGGATGTTTCAAGGCAACGATGTGGCCTTATATCTGGTTTCCATTAGATATATTCTTCAGTGTTTCAGTGCACGACACATGTTTTACCTGTGTTATTCCTGTTGCAGGTGTATCTTTGTTCATAAATTCTGGTGGACAAGTCCCTCCCGGTCTCCCTCACGTTCTCTTCCATGCAGTGACGTAGGCATACAACACAAAGGCCCTTGTTAGGAGGTACGTATAACTGCCACTACTTCGGCTGAGAACCTCATCAAGTAAAAGTCCTCATCACTCCCGCTTAAGAAGTAGAGTCCACCCCATTCTCTGTGGAGAGTGTAACAGTCTACGTGGAGAAGACTGAGAGGGACTTATTGACTAGAATTTATAAGCACAGATACGCCTGCAGCAGGGATGACACCAGTAACGTATGTCATACACAAAAACACTAAGGAATATATCATGCGATGGAAAGATGCTAAACTGATCTGCGGGGAACCAGAGTTGAGGCAACATCATTGCCTTGAAGCATCACTCATCGCCATCCCCAACACCTTCGCTCAAAAAGTTGGCATTTCCATAACCTTGGCACATGTGATATTACATGCATCCCGGGACTGACACTGATATAACCATAAGATAAACACTTCTCCACTTCTGGTTTTTTCTGTATTTGCTGCTATTACTGCAGCTACTTTTCTTCATTAACTTCAAGATTACTCATCAGATTCCTTATCTGCCAAAAACAAGACAGCAGGTTATTTCCTCTTGCTGGTTCTGACAAACTATTTTAATAAGCAGACCTGAACTATTTCAAGTCGCTAGATTAGATTTCTTTTCAAATTACTCCAATCAATTTGGCTAACTTTAAAATCTCCCATAAAAATATACATTTCTGTATCTAGATGCCTTAGCAATTTCATCCCAAAGAAGTTTATCGTAGGTACTATCTAGGTTAGTAGGTCGTAGATCACACACAAGATTAGTGTCTCATGACCTTGGAAAAACTGCAGCCAAATGGATTCAGTGTCTGTCCCTTCCCCAGTTATATCATTAATGATGCAACAGTTAATTTTTTTCCTAAAATGCTTAGCAACTCCGACCTCTTTCCTGTTGACCCTATTAGTGAGGAATAATTTATACCGCCGTATGTGGTATTCGGCAGGCATGTCCCTATTTTTCAGATTGAGCCATTTATCGCTTTTGCAATATTATATATGTTCCTGCACATGCAGTTAGTCTTAGGTCGGTCATTTTATTTCTTAAGAGTTGGCTATTGGTTTAGTAAATGGTAAGGAAGTTTTAGAATGGTCTCTCTCCCCTTTGTCTATGTTTGTAAACCAATATCTAACATATCTTGACAATTTTATTTAGCATATCTCGACAGTTTTATTTAACATATCTTGACAATTTGTGCCCTCTCCGTCCCAAGTATTGCAGCAATCTCTTTCTTACCCACACATTACAGTACCTCTGCTTTTTATCATTTTAAAATCCTACACAATTCGACGTTCGTGTAGCTGATTCGTGTTTACTGTTGCCAGATATTTAATTAGTTCTGCATTTGTTTTTGATTGTTAATATTGGCGTACTTGCTAAGTACGTTAATTGATGCTCTGTAATGCACAGTGTTCTCTGACTCAACTTCTGGTTTCCCTATTACAACACAGGCACAGTCACAGGTTTTATCATGACACACAATACGTCTTACCTGCGTGCCATTCACGCTGAGTGATACTTGCTTATCTTCAGCGTAGGTGTCATTGGAGTAATTTTCGTCAAAGTTGTCGTCGTTGTTAGCATAGAAACTGTCGTCGTCGTCGTCATGTGCATAAGAGTTGTTGCAGACGCCGGAGCAGTCGGTGGTGTCGTAGTTGGTCATGGCGTACAGTAAGCTCATTCTTGCATTCTCTTCCTCGCCCACTATCAGCAGCCTCCTCCACACAGCTCGAGTCTTCTTTGAAGCTCTTTTTCTCTTGCCCGTTTTTGTGGAATACTGTAACTCGGGTCTCGCTGTCGGGAGCTTATGTGCGGCAGTCGTGGCTGGGGCTCTGTATGTCGTAGTTCTCAGGGGTGGGTTCCGTGTCATTGTCGAATAAGCCCTCCGTGTCGTTGTCGTTACCGTGGCTTGCCGTTTTCTGGAGATCGATTGAGCCTTCATTTTCGCTGCTCTGGCTTTCCGTTTTGTCGTTCCTCCTTGGGGCTTTTGTGTCGTGGATGTGGATTTCTGTGGTGCGGTCGTGGATGAGGACGTCTGTGGCGTGGTCGTGGATGAAGAGTTCTGTGACGTGGTCGTGGAAGAAGAGTTATGTGTCGTGGTCGTGGATGAGGACTTCTGTGACGTGGTTGTGGATGAGGACCTCTGTGATGTGATCGTGGATGAAGTTTTCTGTGACGTGGTCGTGGATGAGGACCTCTGTGTCGTTGTCGTGGATGAGGACTTCTGTGACGTGGTTGTGGATGAAGATTTCTGTGGGGTGGTCGTGGATGAGGAATTCTGTGGCGTGATCGTGGATGAGGATTTCTGTGGCGTGGTCGTGGATGAAGCTTTCTGTGGTGTGGATGAGGATTTCTTTGTCTTTGTCGTGGCTGAGGATTTCTGTGTCGTGGTCGTGGATGAGGAATTCTGTGGCGTGGTCGTGGATGAGGATTTCTGTGGCGTGGTCGTGGATGAAGCTTTCTGTGGCGTGGTCGTGGATGAAGCTTTCTGTGGTGTGGATGAGGATTTCTGTGTCTTTGTCGTGGCTGAGGATTTCTGTGTCGTGGTCGTCGTTGGAGACTTCAGAGTTGTGGTCGTCGATGGAGACTTCAGGGTTGTGGTCGTCGATGGAGGCGCCTGTGTTTTGGTTGTCGCTGAGGCCTTCTGAGTCATTGTCGCCGAATTATTTTTCTTCGTGTCGGAAGTCGTCATGGCTGCTGACTTCGCTGAAGCTCTGCTTGGACGATACTGGAGTGCTAACATCGTTGAGGAGAGAGCTCACTGTGACCACTGGTTGAAGAAAGAAAGATCTCAATGCTACAAATGGTGAAGCAAGATTTCAGTAATACCAGTAATACACACTAACCAGGAGAGACAGCGCTCATACACTAATTAGGAGAGACAGCGCTGATACTAACCGGAAGAGACAGCGCTGACACTAATCAGAAAAGACTTCACCGCTGACAGTGGTAAACAAGAGACCTCACCGCCGTCACTGGCTGGTAGAGACTGAAGTGAGACATTGTCCATGGGTGATGGTGTGGCTTTATCACTTATATTTTGTTTTTAACATATGATTACCCACCGAGGTCTGAGATAAGGAGATATAACTGATAGTGATCATTAACACCACTAAAATCCACTCTTGCAGTCATCCATGTCAAGATGATCTTTATCAGTATTATTATTGTAGTAATTATTATTAGTATTATTATTATTATTATTATTAGTAGTAGTAGTAGTAGTTGTAGTAGGAGTAGTAGTGTAGTAGCAGTTTTATCGTAATCAGGGAAGGTTCCTAGACGCCAGTGAGAGGGGGCTCTTGATCCAAGGAATTGGATTGACTTTGGTGGTCTCCCATTTCACCACCAGGCACTGTATGACCCATACCGGTTTAGCGCTCTCCCATGAATATGACACCAGACTAGGTTACTAGGTTACTATATATATAAATATCTCCTACCTCCGTCCGAGGACGCATCTTCCGTTCAGTAAATAAAAGAGATGTAAAAAATGCATAAAAAAAATAATCACAGCTCGGTGTCACTGAAGATAACAGATTACCTTGTAAATGGAAGATGTGAAGAATAACCTTGAATAAATCGTACCTGGATACAATGGTTACTTGCCTTTTATAAACGCTCTTTCGTCCACAATGGTTTTATTAGCTGACTTGATGAAGCCAGTGTGTGTGGGGGGGGGGGAGACGAAGTGGTAACGAAGATATTCACTGCACCTAAGTGTCTTTTACTCCACCATGTCAATATTTACATACCATTCCAGTAATGAAAAGTTAATTTGTTATTTCGAGAAACACCTATGTTGTTCGATCTTTTTAAGTAAAGGTTCTGTTGCAGTGAAGTAGCCTAGAGGCCTTGGAGTTATTTACCAGACGTAGGTTCAGCTGCATCTTATCTATATGATAGTACTTGGCAAGGCAGTAACTAAATAGTACCCCCGTCAAGCACGAGAGGTTTTTCTTATACTCCATCACACAAGATGCCTTCCGTTCATACTCCATCACACAAGATGCCTTCCGTTCATACTCCATCACACAAGATGCCTTCCGTTCATACTCCATTACACAAGACGGTTTTCATATCATACTGCTTATCACAAGATGAGTTTCCTGTCATTATCAGTCACATAAGATGGTTTGCCTAATATATTATTCAAATAAAATGGTTTTCCTATTATTCTCCATCACACATGATGATTTTCCCCCCATCAAACTTCACCACAAAGGATGAGTTTCGTATATGAGGTAATGAAATCTGTCAACTTCAGATAATATCCATCAACAGAGTTGTAGAATATGGTATTTGGTAAGTTTCAGTAGAGTTAGTTTAATATGTTCATTATGCACCCCATACCCATCCTGTGGGCGGTAGTCAAATGATTACAGAGGTACATAATTGGTCCAGGGACTGGACTCCAAAGTTTTGATAGCTGAGCAAGTTACAAAGGTAACGAACTAGATCTGGTCACAGTCGTGACCAAGTACAAAGGTAATGAGTTCCAGGTAGAGCTGGTCACACTCATGACTAATTACAAAGGTAATGAACTAAATCTGGTTACAATAATGATAATTAACAAAGGTAATGAGCTCCAGGTAGAGCTGGTTACAATCATGACAAGTTTCAATGGTAATAAATCGTGAACACATGATTACAATCATGAAAAATTTTCATGAGTAATGATCAGTTAACACATTGTAGGGAATTCATCCATTGTCAACAGACGTTGCTAGGTGCCTGTCCCTCCTCGGCAGGACAGCCAGACAGCCATTGCAAACAGCACCAGGAACTGCTGCTTGCAGGAGCACCATCGACCCTCCCCAAGAGGTCCAAGAGGCCAGCGACTCTGCTAGCAGCCCGAGGGAGAGCCGCCCTGGGGACGTGTCAACGTCCTGGTGGACGCCAAGTTGACTGACGATCCCCAGCCCTTTGTAAAGGTGAAGGCGCGGCAGCTGTCACCTACTTCTGCTGGGAGGGGCTGTTGGTTGTTTCCACCTTTCAGTAGAGTAATAGAGAAATCGTCACTCTACCCTTAGTTTGGTAGCTACGGCAGCGTTAATTTCCTTCCAGCAGAGCTGCAGTTACTGCTGTTTGTGCTTTACAATTTCTGGATGGTTTATCGTGTAGAGTTAGAGTAAGCAATTGTTTACACGTAAGAATTACGACATTAGGATCCAAAGGGCATATTTCCGGCAATAGTGAAGTAGACACATGGGCAACAGAAGCTTTGATTAAGACAAAGATCTACACAAAGGGGAAATTATCCTAATAATAGCTACGTAGAGCTGACAGGACTGAGGTTCAGGTCTCCACCAATCCTGCTAAGTGATCCACAAGGGTTTGATGTTTGTATAAATATAATAATATTGCAGGTGTGTCTTTTCTTCAACATTTGGAGCATAGCTAGAGTGCTGACTACTCAAGTACAAGAGTTTTCTTTAAAAAAAAAAAAAAAAAAAAAAAAAAAAAAAAAAAAAAAAAAAAACTACGTTGTAGACCGCATCACGTACGTCTTAAAGGCCATATTCCAAAAAAAATAAAAATGGTATAACAGCTTACAACAGGCCGTAAAATTTAGTCAAATAAAAGCATCATACACATCTTAGGCTGCTGAACAACATTCTATACAAGTCTCCCATTTATTTTTCACAATCTAAATGCATAAAATGTATACACAGTTCGTCTTTAAGGAACACAAAGATCATAGCAACTTACCCATTAGTGATAACTTTGATTTTTCAACAGTCTTGAATTCGCTCGTAGAAGACACGTGTTCACAGGAGTATGAGTTGGCTGGCAGCCAGTGGATCGATGAAGAGGCTGTGTATGTGTGTGTGTCTGTGTGTTGCAGAGGTCGAGTCACAGCTCCTGGCCCCGCCTCTTCATTGGCCGCTAATAGGTCAATCTTCCTCCTCCATGAGCTTTATCATACCTCTTCTTAAAGCTGTGTATGGATCCTGCCTCCACTACATCGCTTCCCAGACTATTCCACATCCTGACAACTCTGTGACTGAAGAAATACTTCCTAACATCCCTGTGATTCATCTGAGTCTTCAACTTCCAACTGTGACCCCTTGTTGCTGTGTCCCATCTCTGGAACATCCTGTCTCTGTCCACCTTGTCGATTCCTCTCAGTATTTTATATGTCGTGTGTCCAGGGCTTGAAAAGTGACATTACCAGCGGAGAGTTAATGCGGAAGCGATCATTATGATAATTATAAATTAATCCAAAATCTTCCCATTAGTAATTATGTTATACTTTTGGTAACCGTAGTAAGCTTTATTATCAATTCAGGAAGGCTTAGATAATAATTATTTAAATAACCAAGATTATCAGATTGTTACCTTGGGAACAATATTGATTACAGAGATTGGATATATTTTATGCAAATTTTTGGTGGGGGGTAAATGACGATGAAGCGGGAGCTGGCATTATCATTCAAAACACCATGTGGGGTGGAGGCAGTCTCGAAGAACAAGTGTATCAACACACTGGAGATCTCCCCAGCTCATCAGAGTATCCAGACGACTGAACAACCAGAAGAGCAGAGGCAGCCAGTGAGTCTCTCCAACGTAGTTAGTTAGTTTAATATCTTTATTATGCACCCCATACCCATCCTGTGGGCGGTAGTCAAAAGATTACGAAGGTACATAATGGGTCCAGGGACTGGACCCCAAAGTTATGATAGCTGAACTAGTTACAAAGGTAATGAACTTCAGGTAGATCTGGTCACAATCATGGCAAGTTACAGAGGTAATGAATCAGCCTCACTCCTATACATGGTTACAGTCATGAACAAATTACAAAGTATCCAACGTACCAGAGAAATTTCATGTCTGTCGGCGAGTACCCGGTCTGTGAAGAGGTCCAGAGGTCCATGTTAATGTGTTTAGGCATTCACCTGGATTGTGATCAGTTCGGCTATAAGTGAGGTGAGAACACCAAATAGATACGATATCAGCGTAGTCCTAAATAATACCTTGGTGATCAAATTGTTGTCTGTAGCCTGAGGTAAATTAGGAATTACTTATTAACTTTAACATTGGGTTACAGATTTCTCAGTATAACATTTATTTACAAGTTAACCAGTCATCTGGCAGGAGAAGGGCTGCTTCCATGACCCAAGTGTAGAGGCAGTCTTGTCTGGGAGCAGCCAGCTGGGAGGACCTAGGCTAGGTACAGTCGGTCTGGAGTTTTGAGACTCTCTGATCGCGGGTTCTATCCCCGCCCGTGGTATGGTTTGTTTGCAATCGTTTCATTACGATTTCGTGAGTCAGTCTTCAGTAAGTCTGCTCTTTGTTTATGCACGAGAGTTGTTGTTACTTCGTCTATATTTCATCCAGAAGAAAAATGTACAGGGACTTAGTTACCGTGTGAAGGTGGTAAACAACCTCACATTAAGTACGTAAGTAAATTTATTCAGGTATAGGTACACATAAATACAATTACGTAAATTATCATACACAGCAGCATATGTGTAGATTACCTATGATAACCCAAGAAAGTCAGACAAAAGTGACTTATTTCCATTGGTATCCTTGTTACCATGGTTACCACGAGTTCTACATTTAATATTCTTGATTATTTGTGATTCTTCTACCCATGGTATTGTCACTTTTATTCCTCAGTATTGATGAGAAAATAATAATGACAACCTAAATAAAAGCTATAGTAATAATGCTAATATTGATGAGGGTAACAGTAATTATGACAGTATTAATGTGAGCATTAGTTATAATGATTAAAGTTATTATCAAAATTCGAAACACTACATTGTGTGGCTATCCTGATGTATATGATATTACGTACATAAAAGTTAGAGCAACTGCTGTATAATGGTTAATGCGTGTAGCCTGTACATCATATCCACGCATTGACATTTTTTTTTATTCGCCGGTACTTTTTATGCATCCTTGTACCATTTACTGGTAATTTAAAAAAGACCTAATTACTGTATGCATGTAACGTATATATGTGCATATATATGTGCATATATATATATATATATATATATATATATAATATA